TATTGTTCAGACCTGCAGAGCCTATACCCTGCAAAGCCCTACCGAGCAGCAGCATACCCCATGTCTGCGCAGCTGCACACAAGACACTTCCAATAAGCATGAGAAACAATGCCGTCTGTAGTATAATGTGACGCCCGAAAACATCGGCAAGCTGACCGAATATGGGAATGAAGGTGGTCGATGTGAGACTAAAGGCGGTAATGATCCAGTTCAGCTCGTCGAATTGGTCTAGATACAACGATAAGGGTCAGCAAGAAACAGTTAAACACAAGAATCTGACTCACTAAAGTGAGATGCAATAGTCGAGGTCGCAGTAGCAACAATGGTCAAGTCCAGTGTGGAGAGAGTAAACGGCAGGGTGAGGCCAGCAATGAGTTTGACGCGATACACTCGCGCATTATGCTTTTGCTCCTTGCACAGGCTGCATTTCTCGGTGTCTGTAGCAGGTCTCAATTCTTTGGTGGAGCCAGACCTAAGCCTTTCCAAAGGCTCAGAGTCTTCGCCGTTCCTCGATTCTAGTTGGTACCATTGCGAGCGATGTGCACAAAGTGGCTTTGGTGTGGGAGACTTGGAGTCTTTCGTCTTCTGCGATAGGTACTTGTAAGCTCTGATCATATCGGTAGCCCGTCAGTCTGGAAGTAGATTCAACAATATAGTATGATGATGAGAGATGTCTGATATAGAAAAGGCTGCACGGGCTGCTGGTAGAATCAAGGGACTATAGGATGCCATTGTGTAGTTATATATGAAGAATCCAACTTGGCCTCGTATGCCGGCTCGGATGCAACTGAGGCTGTGTGGTCTAGACAATATATCTCCTTCGAGCCATCAGTGCGAGGCACAAAGGATGTCAACTTGATTGATGTCAAGAGCATCCCAGTCAAATGTAGGGCCGTTTCGAGCAAGTAATGCGTGCCCGTCTGATTGGCCGGAATGGTACTATGCGCAAGCCCTACCGAATGCGGTAAGGATTGCGAGGAGTCAGCCAACACAGCCTCTTAACTAACGTTATATTGTAACACTATGAATCTTGAGCTCAACAAATATCTTCTAGGAATCTATTCTATAGGACGTAGTTCGCACAGCATGAACGCATTAAACAATATATGTACGTCTTGAACGAGTCTATCTATATACACATAGCGAGACATCAGGGGTATAGCTTCAATCGACAGTAAATAAAATCGTAAATCCGACTCGCTCCAAAGCAAAACCCCAGGTAAGAAAAAACCATGAAATATAATCATCTCGAAGCTCCAGCCAGGGAGGATCGTTCATCTTCTATACCGATCGCGGATCGACTCATGCGCTTGGCTCCTCAATAGGCTCTTCCGGAGGCGAGTTGGCCAAGGCACTCTCGAGCGCACTCGTCAAGTCAATGTGGAAGAATGGCCGGTTGATGCCCTGCACCACCGCCGCCTTGCGTCGATTGCGGTATGCCTTACTGTCCTTGAGATCGCGCGCCAGCTTGTCGTCCGGCGTGCTGCTGTTGTCGGACGACGCTTCAATATCAATTCCGGACGCCTCGCGCTCGGTCATGTGGGTTTCATGTTTGAGTCCCTCCTCGAGGTCACGCTTGACGGCGTTCTGGTGGGCATGCTCATTGTTAACCATCTCCGCATGAGCCGCAGCAGACGCCCGTCCTTCGATCTCAGCCACACTGAAAATCGGCTTCCACCGGTGGAACCCGTCATCAGAAGCAGGAGTCGGGTAACCGAAACCTGCGGCTGCCAGTGCTCGTTTCGTCCAGCGGTTGTTAATATGAGCGAAGTGCCACTGCACAGTGCGAGGAGAGGCATAGAGATCGAGCTGGTTGCGAACATCGATCAGGTTTTGGATGGAAGTCACATCAACATTATTAACCGACGAGAAATCGAGGATGATGGAGCGGAGGATGGGCCGTTGCGAGCGGCTCTCTTCCTTGCCCTTGCGAGAGCCGGGGTCGTTCCAAGGCCGATCACCGGGACGAGCGTAAGAGAACGGGTTGGTGCGACGCGTCTGGCGGAAGATTGCCTGAACCAGGTAGTCGGTGTAGTGGTTTGCGTTGGGGTAGTTAAAGCCCTCAGAGAAACGGTAAATGAAGATACCGGGGTATGGTTGTTCCACCTCAACCTCGGGGTTTGAGCCATCGGTATGGTTAAGAGGAAGGAAGATAGACCGACGGGACTCGCCCTCATTGTCGGGGGCATCGGGGAAACCACCAGGTCCATACTTGCCATCTCCTTGGATCAGATGATCGCCAACAACGGAGTGAATGGTAACGCGGCCCAGGAACTGACCGCGGGCCTTGGCAACGCGGAAAAGCAGGACAGCCACGGACACGCAGATAGTGCAGTAGATGCCATCCTCGATCGAGGTGAAGACAGTTACGATGACACCGATGAAGAAGATGATTGCATCAAGGGGTGAGACGCGCCAGAATTGGTACACAGTGTTTGGGGGCGTGATTAAATCGCCGACAGCGTGGATGATAACACCGGAAAGGGCGGCTTGGGGGATATAAAAGAAGACGGCGGTCAGGGCGTAGATGGCGAGCAACACAACAATGGCGGTGATACAGCCGGCCAAGGGAGTCCGAACACCTGCCTTCGACTTGATGGCAGTCCGGGAAAAGGATCCGGTGGCAGGGTATGCGCCCAGAAAAGGGCCGAGAAGGTTGGTCACACCAATTCCGACCAATTCTTGGGACGGCTCGATGGTATAGTTGTTGACACGGCCAAAGGACTTGGAGATTGCGATATGCTCGATAAGGAGGACGATAACGCAGGCAGGGAGCTGACTGGCAAAGACCTTGATGATCCTAGCGTTGACAACAGGGACAGCCGCATCTTGGAAACCTGAAGGACACACATGTAAAGTTAGTTGACTACCCTCAAAAAATAGATATATCAAATATCATCAAACGCACCTCTTGGTACACTGCCCAGAAGATCAAACATCGGGTTATCCTTGCGGTGAAGGTTGACTGCCGCACTGATCATGGTGTAGAAGAGGATGACAAAGACAGTGCGCAGAGTCGACGCGAAGAACCACACTTTAGCCTGGCGAGGGTACTTGCGAGCACCATAGTTGCAAACCGAACGGATAATGTACAGCATGGCCAAGGCTGTCACACCAAGGGCAGCATCAATACCCGCAGTAGGAAGATACTTCAACGAGTTGATAATGATCATGTAGGTTGAGCCTCTGGTGGAGAAGTCGGCCGATTCTCCAAGGAGCTTCTTGACTTGACCGGCAGCGATATTGAGAGCAGATCCCGTCATGAATGCCGAAATTGCAGGAAGGGGAATGAAGTCAACGATGAAGCCGAGCCGAAGAAGACCGAGGGCACAGACGATGGCACCGCAGATGATAGCCAGGCAAGACGCCACGATATGTCCTGGAACATCCGGGATCTCTTGCTCAGCCTGAAGCACAATCGTTCCGACCAGCGTGGACATTACAGCAACAGGCTAGACGGGAAGTTAGAAGGCATGGCTCGATAGCGGCAAATATTGGAAGAGGGCACCTACCCCGATAGTGATATCCTTGGATGTGGCAAAGAACCAATAAACCAGTACACCCATGAACGATGAGTAGAGACCATACTGCACTGGTAGTTCGGCGAGTTTGGCATAGGCCATTCCTTGAGGGACAACAACAGCACCGACAGTTACACCTGATGAGTTAAGTAAGACACATTGGCCACACATATGTACAGCATCAGGACCCGATGTGGCGACTTACCGGCGACGAGATCACCGAAGAACCATTGCAGGTTATACTTCGTGATCCAAGAAAGGAAGGGGAACAAGTTGTAAAAGTACATAAGGACATCATGCCAGGTTGGACAGATCTCTTTAAGCCATTCGGCAGTGGTAGGTTCCGGTTCGAGATAAGAGTATGTCTCAACGGTGCCGTATGAAAAGGTCGATTCGCCGCGAGTGACGGGGTCGGAGTGAGCTCCAAGGGGATCCCGATAAGGCAATTTGATACCCAGAACTTTGGCCAGGCCGTGGCCAGTCTTGGTCATGAGGTCTTGCGACATGGTTGTCGGGGAGGCCTCTGATGGTAGGAAAGGACTGTTTCTAGGGCAAGATGGTGCCCCGAGCCACTTGGAAAGTGGAAATTTGGCGTTGACGACCGGAGCTGCTCAACAACAATTCTCGAGTGATGGGAAAAGAGAATTGCAGTCCTCCAAGGTAATATATCTTCCAGGGGTGTATTTAGGCAAGCCCCATGGCAAGGTTGATGGCAAACGATATAAAAGTGGAGGCGGGAGGATAGTGCGGATTTAAAATGAATATCCGAAGCCAAGCGCCGATGTCGTGATCGGGAGCTATGAACGCGAAATATCAAAATGCCCACTCGACCCTCTTTTCAACGTCAGGATCCAGGCTACACGAGCAAGTTGAACTCAAAAGATCTATCAGATAAAAATGATAAAAAGTAGATGAGAGAACAAAAGTCCAAGAAAAGCACACGCGGCTTTTTGGGTTTCGCTAGGAGATAATGTAGATGTGGCGCACGGGGAAAATTGTGGTCGAGCGGAAGATGAGACCAGCAGATCCGTCCCACGCAAGTGTTTCAACAACACAAATAGCCACAGAAGCAAAAATGGGAAGAAGAAAAATAATGAACAAGTAGTGAAAGTAGTTCGAGGGAAGTCAGTCCAGAGAGTTTTAAAGTGATTAGTCTTGTCAGAAGAAGTTAAGGTGACACGGGTCTCCGTGGGGAGAGCGGACGTCGCAACGGGAGTTGATGCAAGCCGATCAATGTGTATTCTTGCGCCAAAATGGCATTGACAACGACGACCATGATACGACTATTATCAACCGGGAAAGGAGCATCAGCAAGAAACGCGCAGTGATGGGGCAGCTGATCCACCAGGGATCGTCAAGGGCAAAAAGCACGCCGTCTGGAATATTCACAAGCCCGTCGTCAACACGCAGCTAAGAAAAAATTCCCTAGCCTGCAGGGAGGGCCAAGCTCGTCAGAGAAAGCTGGCGTAAGAGCGCCGTTTAGGTGGGTTTGGCCGGGGTCTGGAAGCGAAAGATGACGATGAGCCGTGGAGCAGGTGCCCGCCCACCGGCTGGGCCCATGGTTTGCGATTTGCATGGGAAGGAGGGAGTAGTGTATCAAGTGTGTAGTTGAGCATCCAGGACAGGATTAACCTCCGGCCAACCACTGAACGGGATTCAACACCCTGATGATAGTATGTTTCACTACTCAAAAGAGCCGAACAGAATGGAGTTCATTCTCGGTAGTCGTAACCCACCATGACGATTGCAAGAGGAAATATTCCTCTTCCTGATGGATCCAGCATTTGTCCGACGTTCGCAGAGGGGGAGGAGCCAAAAGGGAAAGTAAGTTGAGTGGACTCCATCCGCCATATTGCCAAGGCACACCGCCAACCGGAAACGGGTCAGGACCATGGTATGGACCAATGAGAATGGTCCCTGGCTACTGGGGAGCAGCATCCGCGGCGGGCAGGCGGCGGCCAATGGGAATAGTGCGAGAACACGCCATCGCTCCGACTGATGGTGAAAGATGGCCGGTCCACGTGTGGGCGGCGCGGTTTCGTCCAAGTATCGGCTGGGCCGTTCTGTGCTCTTCCTCCCCCCCCCTTGTTGAGAAGATGGAAGTTCTCCGTAACTACGAGGTCCCTGGTACCTCCCCCCCGTTTTTCCCTACTGTTTGCCTCCTGGACTGACTTGCCACCAATACTAATCTCCCTTTCTCTCCCACTTTATCTACTTAGTACTCTATCTCCGATGCCCGGATGACGAGTACACATCTCGTATCGGCCTGGACTGCCAGAATCGGTTTCTCCCTGAGGAGCTATTCTGCAGATCTGGAAAATTTTATTTCAGGGTCATTGAACATTCTGCTGTGTTCTTATTGTAATCTGGCATAAATTAAAGTCGATTTCCACATGTGCATGGCAACAATATATCTGGGTGTCACGAACATACTGCTAAGCAAGCGGCAGTAATACAAGCGGACGGGACAGTCTTGACTACGTACCACCGTTTATTTCCTCTGTAACTGTGGATGCAACAGATTTGTAAGACTAAGATTGCCTTTCAGCTTTTCCAACGAGACTTTGCCGATGTGGCTTGGCACCGTCAGTAGTCATGGAACTGCTGGAAAACAAACTTCTTCTCCCATCAGATAAACATGGAAGCCCGACAAGACAGCTTCCCTGCTACTTGCTGATCTACAATCCCATAATCCATCTAGCACGGCTCACCCAACCCCAAATGGAAAGAGATATTCTGTTCTCTCTAACAGGTCATGTTGACGGCGGCTTCAGGCCGTAAGCACCACCGCTTCTAAACCTTGTTGATTTTCTCCATTCCATTACCAACTGCATTGGCTCAACAACTACTTAGTATCCAACCCAACGCTGCATCTATAAATTTTTATGCGACCAGGATGTCTCCTCGGAGCAGCCACTACCTTCCATCCAATCAGACAGACCGTGCTGACCAGGGAGTGTCTCAGAAGGATTGCCCGGCGTAGCCGGTGCATATGTACCTAAAAAAATAGTTGCGAGCTAAGCAGGTTCCCCAGAATTGCGCCATCGATCTTATCACTGCGTGATGCGGCTGTCCAGGGACATCATTGGAAGATTAGTTCGATGTGGTTTGATGTATGCCTACGGAGTATAGACATCGAACGATTCGGTGAGCAGCATGACCTTCGGCCCGACCGTGTCCAAAATGAATGAGCCACTTTTGTAGATTAATCTCTCATTCTTCTGACTAACAGCGGGTTTTTCTTCCGCAATAGTTGCCTTGTTCGCTTGGCTGCGCGGAGATACCACACCTTGTTCCGTCCATCTCTACTAGTCAACTACACCCCTGCAGCTGCGGCATCCCCGTGGTATGGACAATCATCCATCGAACAATGAGTCCCCAAGCCATCACATTCCTACCCTGATCTTATTCCGATGCTTCCTTTCCTCGCAGACCTATCAGCGCGAGGACATGTCAGACAAAACCCCGCCGCAAATCCTATCTACCAAAACACTAATATATTCGACGTTCTCGTGGCCGAACTTCAATGATCAACAAGAAGTCCGGTCTGCTGACAAGAACTATACAGCACATGCGGACATTAGAGCCTCCTCTATCTAGCATGAATGCGTTCATCGTCCATCAAATTCATCCAGTCGCCTCCTAAGAACACCCATAGAAGGAGCTAAGCGAGACATACGGTTCTGGCACAGACCCAGACTAACTGCCAACAACAGTGATCTGCAAACCTTGATATCTATCCATCAAAGTCATCCATCTAAAGTTCAATAAATGTCTTATGTGACAGCCGCCAGTCAACCTTACCTCAACAAAGTTGCCATAACCCCACTACCATGGATTTAATAGCCTAGTGTGTTTGAACTGTCCGTGTGACAATATACTGCATTCATCTGAATCAGTTCTAACATATCTATCTTGAGAGTCTGGCGTCTCACTGCAGAGAAGGTCACGAGATACAAGCGACCTGCAAGTGCTTTGTTGTCCGTGTCCTTGCAGAGCACATGACCGAGCTTGGGTGTGCCCCTCCAACGAAATATACTAACATTACGCTCGAGAAAATCTGGCATCCCACAAGTCATCTAACAAGCAACCCGCTAATATACGATACTAACCGACGTCATCTACGTATAGCTTCTCACTTGGGTGATCTTTTCTCTCATCATCTGCTCAACAATGAACATCTGCTCAAAAATAAGCAATTACAGATGAAATGGGGTGCACAGCTTATGCTTTTCACAACTTCATCCTGCACCTGAAGGATGCTGCTGGAGGGTTACAGTGCAGATTACCATGCTGTGAGAGGCTCTAGCGATATCAGCTGCCGTACGATGCAGCCCGGTTCTGAATCTCTGACTCTTGACTTTCGTAGAGTACCTCAGCATGTCTATCTGATTACGCTAGTCAAATGGTGTAGGATGGAAGAGGGAGAGCTCGCTTAGTTAGATATACTTTGAAGTGAATCTCACGGGATCAAATATTGAAAAGAATGTTCTTATGCACAAAGAATCAATCATTGAATTTAGTATAATGAATGATGTAGTGATCGATGTCGCCATGACAAAGGTGAACATCGAAGCATTAGGAATGATGCTAGAGTGGGTGTCCATGATATAGAACACACGATACCTACCTAAGAGTCACTGCTTCTTTGTATAGTAGGAATGGAATGATAGAAAGTAAATTGCATAGACCGCTAGCAAAAGCATTTCAAGAACTCGTTGACGGTTGACAGGTATATACATTCCTCGCGACGAGTATACTATTATCTATTCGCAAAAGACCAAACTTTTCTTCCTCTATCTCCCCCTTTCACTCATCTTCACCCTTCCTCTTCCGAAGATGTCCCAATCCATATAGCGAGTCGTTCAGTTCCTTCCGTTGCTTCTCCTCCGTGGTGGCTGGGACTTCTTCCGTACCGGTGGAGTTGATCTTATCGGTCACAGACGCCGCGGTCGGCTCCCATTCCAAGCTGTCGTTGCCGGTCTTGACGTGGAATGCTTCAACCAGGGTGGAGGGGGAGGCGGGGCTGGCTCTCCATTCTTGAGTGGAGTCAGACTGGCGGATAGAGTCGACGGAGACAAGGATAGTGTTGTCTTTCTCGACGGGGGTGAGGTCGAGGACGTTGCCGGAGAGTTGGATGGAGGCTTGTGTTTTCAGGGTGCCGTCGGATTCCAGCGTGAAGCATTGCAGACGGGATGATCTACTCCGGTTAGAATATGTACTCGGTAGTGATTAGATAGGAGGTGTAAAGAAAACTCACCCGTGAAGTGCGACAAGGATGATACGCAGGTCTTCTCCAAGGGTTGTCGCCCAGATACCCTGCACTGCAACCTCTGTAGCTTCCGATGCCTCGTCTACCAGGGAAACCTTCTGGAGAATACGGCCTTCAGCCCAGTTCCAAATGAGCAGGTAGTTGTCGCCTCCGCCAGAAACGAGATACTGGGGTGCCCACTGAGGCACACAAAGCTTGCTGATGAATGAAGTATGGCCCAAGCAGTAGTTTTCAATGACATGGGCTTGAGGAGGACCACGGGAGACACGGATATGTTCATCTCGGTCGGCGGTCAGGATGTAGCTGCGCTTCTTGTTCTCATCCACCGGAAGCGAGACATAAGCCATATCCGTGAGCAGCGACACATGGCCAAGCAAGACTTTGTGTTCGAAAGTCGGGCCAGAGGACTTCTCATCCCTCTTTCCTTCGCTCGCTAGACGCAATTGTTGTTCCAAGGCTCGTAGGTTGCCCTTCGTATGCACGGTCAGGTTTGTTGCCGCCGGATGGCTGAGTTTTGCGCTTCTGAGGGCTTTCGTAACCACAGGAATCTTGTCGCCTGGGATCAGTGGCAACGAGTAGACATCTCCAAATTTGTCACCACACAGGATAGTGTTGTCGTCATCAGTGAGGGTAATGGCGGAGGGTCGCTTGGGCATGGCTCTGTATAGAGTATGAGTTTCCAGATCCTGAGCCAGAATTGATGGAGCAGATATCCACTCACCTCTCGCTCAGCTGAACAAAAGAACCATCTTCCTGAAGCTGGAAGACACGGACGCACTTATCTTCGGCGGTAAGCGCAACTATGTGCTCGCCGTTCGAAGTGCCAGTTACTATGGGGATGTTTGACCAGGCAGGCTTGCCAATTGATTGAGGTTCTGACGATGATACCTTCCGCTTCTTCTCTGGGGGTCCCTGCTCGGGAGTGGACTCTGCGTCAACAGGGTTGGTTTCACTCGAAGCGACATCTGCTGGCCAAACCGCCAGTCGCTGGCCAGTCTCTGCGGAGTAGGAGTACAGCTTGGAGCCCGCTGACCCTATCAGAATGTTCGTAGATGGCCTCTGCACCAAGCGGAGGCATTGCAAGGGATGTTGGAATTGCACAGACATTTTGGAAGAATTGACTGAGAGTGTAAACGAACGAAATATAGAAGCACGAAGTAAGGCCTCTTCTCCGCCGTCGCAGTAGATCGCCGTAAAAAGTCGATGTCCCGCCGCATCATGGCCGCATCTCCGCGCGCCCGACCGCCTTCCCAACTGGGCCGGAGGAAAGCGGGGCCCACGTGACTAGGAAACAAGCGAGGCCACAACCAAGAATTTCCCAAAATCGACGCGACCTTCCGTACTTTTCGAACTTCATCGTCACGATTCAGATCGGACAACCACGAAAGTCGAAACATTTCACTTGCCCTTAAACATCCTATCTTCAGCGAATTAAGGAGACATGGGGGGCAAGTCTGCTACCAAGGCCGCTTACTTCGAGAAGCTCAAGGCCCTTCTCGATGAGTACAAGACGGTCTTCATTGTCGGTGTCGACAATGTCAGCTCTCAGCAGATGCACGAGATTCGTCTGAGTCTCCGTGGCGAGGGTGTCGTCCTGATGGGTAAGAACACCATGGTATGTGATCCTCTGAAATTACCGGTGCTTGATTTGCATGCTGACGAATTTTTTAGGTTCGCCGTGCCATCAAGGGCTTTGTCAACGACAACCCCGAGTACGAGCGTCTGCTCCCCTTCGTTAAGGGTAAGTGAAATTGCTTCCAGAGTATGCAATGATGTCAATTGGCTAACTTTCGCTCTCTTTGCAGGTAACGTTGGTTTCATCTTCACCAACGGTGACCTCAAGTCCACCAAGGAGAAGATCCTGGCCAACCGTGTCGCTGCTCCCGCTCGTGCCGGTGCCGTCGCCCCTGGCGATGTCTGGATTCCCGCCGGTAACACCGGTATGGAACCCGGTAAGACCTCTTTCTTCCAGGCTCTCGGTGTCCCCACCAAGATTGCTCGTGGTACCATTGAAATTACCACCGACCTCAAGCTCGTTGAGGCTGGAAGCAAGGTTGGTCCCTCTGAGGCCACCCTGTTGAACATGCTCAACATCTCTCCCTTCACCTATGGTATGACCATCCAGCAGGTCTACGACCAGGGTCAGTGCTTCAGCTCTGCTGTTCTGGACATCGAGGAGTCTCAGCTCCTTGAGGCCTTCTCCAGCGCCATTAACACCATCACCACCATCTCCCTGGCTGTTAACTACCCCACTCTCCCCGCTGTCATGCACTCCCTGGTCAACAGCTACAAGAAGGTTCTTGCCGTTGCTGTTGAGACCGAGTACAGCTGGCCCGAGATTGAGGAGCTCAAGGACCGTATCGCCAACCCTGACGCTTACGCCTCCGCTGCTCCTGCCGCTGCCGCTGCCCCTGCTGCCGGTGGTGCTCCCGCCGCTGAGGCTCCCAAGGAGGAAGAGGAGGAGTCCGACGAGGACATGGGCTTCGGCCTCTTCGACTAAACGTCTCGTGTCAATGCTTCACGGGATACGACTGCCATGTATTAGATACTTTTCTTGCCGGTCTTGACGATTGGGTAAATGAAAATGATTGTCATGGTCATGAAACAATGATCTTCTTTCATCTAGATAGGGACGTAGTAACGTTCCCTGATCCGATGAACTGAAAAAGGTGAGCTTTCAACAATTCTTTGGTTTTTCTTGCTTCGCATACATGCCCACTCCCCGGTGATATGATGATACATTTTTAACCCAGAGCTACTTGCTTTGACGAACAAAAACAGCAACAACAAACACTCTAATTTTTTGCTGACACCATCTCATCCAATTTGCCTTTTTGTCACACATTACCTTTAATGGTCCGATAGCTAACAGCTTTCTCAGGTTCACAGATCAAATGTAGCCCGGACGTAAGGCAGTCGCGCTGTTCGTTACCCCAGAGGCTTGCTCTGTGGTTGTGTACAAGTAGCGGCTAGAAGAGCGTAGTACATGAGGCTGTTGTTGGCTGTGAAGGATTCCATGGGCATTGTATTGGTTGCCGCTGTCAGGGCGCGTGGGAGGAATATCTTCAATACATATAGCATATCACAATGAAAGCAACATCACGTCGCTGCATAGTTATTTTCAAATTGCGTAACATTCCAATTGAAGTAGATTAAGCATGTGTTCCAGGCTTTCGAACAGATTGAAGCTTACCTGAGCCACGGAGGACGAGTCGAGTTCCGGCCCGAGGCCGCGAACGGTGGCAGGACTTGCATGTCGCAAGCCCCTCCGCAAGGTCCCCTCCATCACTCCCACATCCCACATCAAAATGCAGCATCAATTCGAGCCATTGAAGAACGACCTCTTGCTGAGGGCAGCTAGGGGTAATTTTGATCTCTAACATTATATTCGAAGACATGGGACTGATACCATTGCAGGCGAGAAAGTCCAGCGTCCTCCGATATGGGTTATGCGGCAAGGTACGCCTCTCTCTACAAACTTCTCGTTTTGCACTCTTTTGACACTCGAGTAAATTAATTCTCTCTGATAACTGACTATGTTGTGCTTCTTATATAGCTGGCCGTTACCTCCCAGAGTACCATGAAGCCAAGGCTGGCCGCGACTTTTTCGAATGCTGCCGCGACCCCGAAGTCGCATCGACGTTGACGCTCCAGCCCATCGACCGCTACGCCGGACTCATCGATGCCGCTATTATCTTCTCCGATATTCTGGTCATTCCCCAGGCCATGGGAATGCAGGTTGAGATGGTCGACAAGAAGGGTCCCCATTTCCCCGAACCGCTCCAGTCGCCCGATGACGGACAGTACGAGAAAGTGATGCAGAAGGAGGTGGATGTCAAGTCGGAGCTCGACTACGTCTACAAGGCTATTACCCTCACCCGCCACAAGCTGCAGGGTCGTGTGCCGTTGATCGGCTTTTGCGGTGCCCCGTGGACTCTGCTGTGCTACATGGTGGAGGGAGGCGGCACGAAGCTGTTCGTCCAGTCGAAGAAGTGGATCTACAAGTACCCCAAGGAGTCGCAGGCTCTCCTGCAGAAGATCGCCGAGATCTGTGTCGAATACCTGGCGCTTCAGGTTGCTGCTGGTGCTCAGCTGGTACAGGTCTTCGACTCCTGGGCGGGTGAGCTGTCTCCGGCCGCCTTCAAGTCGTTCTCTCTTCCCTACTTGCGTCACATTTCGGCGAATCTGCCTAAGAAGTTGAAGGAGATGGGACTGGAGCCTGTCCCGATGACTGTCTTCGCGAAGGGTGCGTGGTTCGGTCTTGAGGATCTCTGCGAGTCGGGCTACAACGTTGTTGGCTTGGACTGGCTGCATGACCCCGCTGAGGCTAGACGCATTGCCAACGGTCGTGTGACGATCCAGGGTAACGCTGACCCCGGTGTTCTCTATGGAGGTCGCGAGGCTATCACCGAGGCTGTGGAGACTATGGCTCGGGGCTTCGAGAAGGGCAAGCAAGGCTGGATCGCCAACTTGGGTCACGGTAAGCACCTCCACCAACTGGGCGAGTTGCTACAATGCTAATGTTACACAGGTGTGACTCCTTTCGTCAACCCGGATGATCTCAAGTTCTTCTTCGAGGAGATCCACCGTCTGACGGTGTAGATTGGGGCTCAATGCGACCAGAACTAGCTTCCAATTCTTGATTATGTACATGAGAGCCTAGCCAGCAATATCATTGACACCTTCACGAAATTCCAAAGCTCAGACGGAAATGTCCTCGTTCCTGCAAAGACGTCTCACAGTCAGCTTACGTTCCAACAAACATCTAGACCATTCCAATGAGATGCATGGGAAACCTACCAAAGCTCCGGCTTCTCCTTCATAAACTTCTCCATCAGCTGCTTACACTCTGCGTTGTCCAAAACCACAACCTCTTTCCCGCGGCTCTTAAGGTAGTCTTCACCACCCATGAAGCTCTTGTTCTCGCCCACAACAACGCGTTTAACCTTGTAGAGGATGCAAGCACCGGTGCACATGTCGCACGGCGACAGGGTGGTGTACATAGTAGCGCCCTCGTAGGCCGAAGCGGGCAAACGACCGGAGTTCTCGAGCGCGGACATCTCAGCCTATGATCGTAGGAATTAGAATGAGTCAGAGCCAAGTGACCACTTGAAGAGGTAATGGGCTCAACGAACATGCAACACCGGGCTACCCTTCTGGACGCGCATATTGTGACCGCGGCCTAGAATCTTGCCATCCTTGGAGACCAAACAAGCTCCAATGGGCACACCACCCTCAGCAGCGCCTTGCTTGGCTTCTTCCACAGCAGCGATGAATCCGGCGTCAGACTCCATGATGGTTTGTGTTTGATGTACAGTAATTGAGATATGGAATATAGAGCGATTGGAGGGGTAATGCGCGAGAGAGAGAGATAGATAGAAAAGATGGGGTAGCATCAAGCCGGAGCAAACTCTGTGTGGTTAACTGCCGGACTGACCCGCATCGGGCTGAACGTGCGGAGCTCCATGATAATGAGAGGGGAGATAGTAGGTGCTGTCATTGAGATAGGGGATGTTGATTACATTCGTACTTGATTGATAATAGAATCATTGATTATGTGTGCATGTGATAGACTTTCTTGGGTTATGGTCATGCATAAGGTGCTTTTCGAGGGTGCTTGGGGATCGACATGCATAAGCGCAAGCCAGATGCTTGACATTTCATGTCTCGTATATAACTATAACTTAATGTGGTATGAGTTGATTGTATATGAGACATCTTATCTAGATCTATACAGACTGACTGACTGAAAAGTCCTTCTTGTAACTATTCATTCACAATCTAATAAGTTAGAAGATCAAACTAGCAGTGGCTGATAAATTCGGGGTCATCCCCCATGCCACTCACTATCTACTAGTAGTTATCTCCTCTTATCGCAGAGATCAATCTCTGAACCTTTGCTCCACCGTCATGGCAAGAACCATAGAATTGACTTTATTCCTTGGTGGTCTGGTACCCGGGACAATGAATTGCCTCTACAGCAGAAGAAACCGTAGAGTATACGTACCAGGCATTTTCCAGTTAATCTGAAGCCCACCGGCAATTAGCGATCGCGAGGAATAATGAATAGTAATCTCCAGGTGGGGAAATTCCCGACAGGCTTTTTCTTCCCCTCCTTCCGCATCGGGCTAATCGCCTCTCCTTATCGATAAGCCGACAATCAGCCACCGCCCGCCACAATTATGGTGCCTGAGGCAAAAGAAAAGAAAAGAATCTGACCTGGAGACAAGACAAGGCAGATCCGGGCGGCTACGTCAAAGTTTAATTTTGCAGTTTCCTTTTTTTTTTTTTTTTTACTTTTCTTTCTTGGATTTTTCCAGTTGTAATATACTGGGTAGGTATTTTTTACATGTAAGATGGGAGTGTTAAGTAGTAAGTGAGTGTGGATGGAGGGATGCTACACAATACACAGCATTTAGTACTTTAGTGTGAAGATCCTCGTGAACTATGTATAATTGGACTGTAATACCCAGGCTGACCCTGTCGCATACTACCGACTTGTGGAATAAGGACCAGCTTACTTTAGGACCACCCCTCCATGTTGTAGTAGTATCGAACGAGATAGAAGGGAAAGTCCCGGTGATATGATACATACATACACCTTTGGTCAAACACCCAGAAAATGGATGCAACCAACGCTTTTCCACGGTCACGAACCGGTAATTACCAGGGCGATTGTCAGCGATGGAAAGGCTGCGAAAGCGGTGGAAGGACACAGAATCGCATCGAAGCAGTCGGAAGGAGCGCTTGGGCCATGAAGGCTGCGGGTGACGGGGCTTGTCGAAGCAAAGAGAACAACTCCATTCAGCCTGAGACGTTGTCATCGTGGTCATGACAATTTGTTCAAAAGCATCCGACGATCTCTCCTTTCGTGTTAAGATCTGATCCTTTCAGATTTCTATCTCATCCCCCCCCCATATTCTTATTTAACTCCAGTTCCGGCCAGTTGAAGCGCAGTTCGCTCATCTTCTCCAGCATTTCTATACTTCCCGGAGTTTCGCCCCATCGTATCTCCGGTATTTGATACACAAATCTCGAAACTCTTGGCGGGACTTCACTGTGCTCGTGCGGCAAATCAAAGGTCGATTGGTGCCTGGTCCTGGTAATCAGATTACACATACAATACCCTCTCACTGTGTCTCAGCCGCCGCCCTGTCGCCGCTTTCTCTCTTCTCTGGCTCTCTCTCCTGGCTTTGATTATCACCCGGACGGACCCTCTCTCTCTCCAACTCTTCCTTCTTCCTTCCACCTCTCACTTATCCCCCTCACGCCTTCGAGACTCCTCTCCCCTCCCGTCTCTTCCACTCCTCCCTCTTTTTCAAGGACTTCTCTACACTCCTTGGTTTTGTGCCCTCTTTGTTTCAACCTGTTCCATACCCCGGTGTAAGGTTTTCTAGGATCGGATTGTTCCGTTTCGTCCCTCCGAAAAGTTCTTGATTCTTCTTTAATTTCCCTCGGCTTCTCCTCGTCGCCCAACTTTCCTCTTCCGAATTTTTTCTCTTCTAGACACAGATCACAATGGTCAAGGAAACTAAGTTTTACGATATCTTGGGGGTATGTTCTGGGTTTTCGCCAAGTCTGGCTGGTTTTGCACGTCACAGAAACTAACGGTGAGGCGGTTAGGTTGCCCCGACGGCTTCTGAGGCCCAACTGAAGTCTGCCTACAAGAAGGGTGCTTTGAAGTACCACCCTGGTAAGTACGACTTGCATCGCGAATGCGCTGCTTTTCATGAAATAGCTAGGGGTCATTACTAACGCGATATCTGTATAGACAAGAACACAAACAACCCCGAGGCCGCTGAGAAGTTCAAGGAATTGTCTCACGCTTACGAAACCCTCTCCGACCCCCAGAAGCGTAGCCTCTACGACCAGCTCGGTGAGGAGGGTCTTGAGCATGGCGGTGCTGGCGGTGGTATGGGCGCCGAGGACCTCTTCGCTCAGTTCTTCGGCGGCGGTGGTGGTTTCGGTGGCATGTTCGGTGGTGGCATGCGTGAACAGGGCCCCAAGAAGGCTCGCACCATCCACCACGTTCACAAGGTCAACCTCGAGGATATCTACCGCGGTAAGGTCTCGAAGCTGGCCCTTCAGAAGTCCGTCATCTGCCCGGGTTGTGATGGTCGCGGTGGTAAGGAGGGTGCTGTCAAGTCGTGTACCGGCTGCAATGGCTCCGGTATGAAGACCATGATGCGCCAGATGGGTCCCATGATCCAGCGATTCCAGACCGTTTGCCCCGATTGCAATGGCGAGGGTGAGATCATCCGTGAGAAGGACCGCTGCAAGCGCTGTAACGGCAAGAAGACCACCGTGGAGCGCAAGGTTCTCCACGTCCACGTTGACCGTGGTGTGAAGAACGGCCACAAGATTGAGTTCCGCGGCGAGGGTGACCAGATGCCCGGTGTTCTGCCCGGCGACGTCGTTTTCGAGATCGAGCAGAAGCCCCACCCTCGCTTCCAGCGTAAGGACGACGACCTCTTCTACCAGGCCGAGATCGACCTGCTCACTGCTCTTGGCGGTGGTACCATCAACATTGAGCATCTTGATGACCGGTGGTTGACCGTGACCGTCGCTCCAGGCGAGGTCATCACTCCTGGTATGTGCTTCCCCTCTCCAGCCTCGACTTTGGCGCATCAGTCTAACGTTCCCTCTGCAGGTGCTATCAAGGTTATCAAGGGCCAGGGTATGCCTTCCTACCGCCACCACGACTTCGGTAACCTCTACATCCAATTCGATGTGAAGTTCCCCGAGAAGGATCAGCTCAAGAACCTTGAGTTGCTCGAGCAGGTCCTGCCTCCTCGCATGGAGCAGTCCCAGCCCCCGCAGGACGCCATGATCGAGGACTTCGAGCTGGAGGACATCGATGGCAGCGAGACCTCTCAGGCTCGCGCACACGGTGCCGCCAACTCCATGGACGAGGATGACGATGATGTTCCTCCTGGCGCTGAGCGTGTGCAGTGCGCATCGCAGTAAACGGGGAGTTTAGATGGGGAGTGATGATGTTGTGCTGGGGCTTGATGAAATTCGCTTATGATACCATGTGAGGGGTTTCGGCCCCGGTACTGCTCGGTTCTGTTATGTTCGTGCGATGACTTATTTCTGCGATGGCGTTTGCACTAAGATTCGGGAGATGAAATGGAGATTTCTTTTCTTTTCGTTGGATGCGTTTTCCACCATCCTCACCGCCATCACGCAGTGGTTTCCCATGCTATAATGTTCTCTTTTCCTTTTTCTTTCATTGGGAATGGGGGCCTCTGGGATTTGATGAGTGGATGAGAGACGATGTTATGTGAGTCAGCTTCTTTTCTCCTTGACTCCGGGGAAACATGTCGGAGGATTGAGCGTTTCTTAGTTTATAGACTACACAGCACGGCTTGGGTATATCATGCTTCTGGGTTCAAACGTCCATGTAGCGATAGAGTAATCTTATGGCTATGCCTTCAACCTCTGGGAGTACATATAGATACGACAAACCCGATAAGTTAAACAATAATCACACCGTCCCACCTCGTTCCCTTACCTCCCAATTCTCAGAGTCCCCAGGTACCAGAATCAAGTGAATTAAAATAGATTTAAAAAAAAAGAAAAAATAGAACAAAGAAAATTACCCCCGACACAACACTCAAACACCCAACAGTCCACCAAACTTACATATTTACTTTACCCACATATCTCGGCCCGCAAACACCCCTCCACAACGAAACCACAAAAACAAAAAGCAAAAGAAAAAAACAAAAACAAAAAGAAATGTCCTCAGGGAGGTTCGAACTCCCGGCCTTGGGATATCCAGGAAATTTATATGTTTCCTAGTCATATTCAAGAATGTGATATGAGACCCACGTGATAACCAACTACACCATGAAGACATGTTGTTATGTCAGCGGAGAGAGAAATTGAGTATATATCCATATCATGGGAGGAACAGGATGTGTATGTATGTCTTGAAGTCGGGCCAACTGTGTGGAATGAATGGGGTTGGCAAATAGCTACTTATGTACTTGGTGAGTTAGTTTGTAGTATTATATGATGAGTTTGGAGGGGGATTTGGGGATTGTTGGTTTAGGTTTTGGTGGTATCTTGGTGGAGTGAGAGTATATGTTTGTTTGTAGGATTCGGATTGTTTATTATTTAGGTCCTAGTGGTGGGTAAGTATAGATATATGGCTCGGTGTTATACTAGTGGTAGTGTTCCATAGCCCGAGTAAGTAGGAGTTTGTCATTCATGAATGGTATCGACGTAGTTAAGATAAAGATACAGATATAACGGATAATATAATACAAATAATGGGTCAATACACAGGATATATGCTATTCGCTAAGACGGTTGTAAAATATACATAAAATAGTAGTAGTATCAATTGCCATCATCACCACTCCGTCCAAACCTGCCTCCGAATCCACCCAGATCCCGACGGAAGAATTTTCCAATGTTCTTCAGATTCTCGTTCAGGTTGCCTGCGGCGGTGATGCTTTCTCCGCCTTGCGTTTGTGTTTGACCCAACGGTCCAGGTGTAGAGGCCGGGCTGGTCAAGGCGCCGGATATGGCGCCACCACTTGGGGTCAGGTTAGTCGTGTTGGCTGAGCTCATTGGCGTCCCGAATCGATCTACACCGTCTTTGGCGGCGGAGATGATGGCGGATCCGAGCATGGTAGGGTCGAAGCGGGTGGAGGCGCCAATGGATGCTGCGGCGGTGCCGAGACCGAGGCCCTGCGAGACGGTGCCGGAGGATGGTGTCGCGGAGGCTTGCATGGCGGACAAGATGGGGTTGCTCTGCTGGAGGTTCGCTGCGTAGCGATCAGATGCTCGATGGATTTGGAAGAGTTCTAAGAGGTGGTTTTGTTCCTGGCGACTGCGGATGCCCTTGATGTCGAGGATCTTGCGGAAGTTGGCGTTGTTTTGGTCGGCGATGTGGACCAGGTAGGCCTGGACCAGGGCCTCAGGAGGAGACGGTTGAACTTGGAGAGTCTTGAGGAGGGCTTCGATCTTCGCAAAGCTGGCGTTGACGCGCTTTACGAAACCTGCTGGCGCGGGGCTGGGGAGGAGCGACGAGAGGCCAGTCTTGAGGGTGTAGGCATCCAGAAGCATCTGATAACATCTGTTAGTTCCAATGGACGTTACAATTTAAGCTGAGACAGTGAACCTACCTGCTCCGCACCGGTCTCCGCGATCGGCTTGCACTGGAAGACAGTCGCAATGAACACGTTCGATATCAGCTCCACAACATGGTCTGCAAATGCGCGGGCATACTGTTGCTTATGCAGCAGCTGCAACAATTCAGAGCATCTTGTCTGCGTCTTGGACATTAGCTCGCCGACATAGGAGCTTTGATCGCTTACGCCCTCCAGCCGGTTCCAGGGTGTGTTGCGCATCTCCCGCCAGCAGGGCTCCAGGTCAATCTCGACCTTACGCACTAGCCCTCGAACAGCTGCAGAAGCAATTCCCATGAACGAGTCCGCTTGACTTTGTAGGTCCACCGACTGTTTGAGACTTTTGTCGAGCCTACCCTTGATCTTTTCCTCCAATTGATTGCACGTCGTATAGCAATAGTCCGCGGTGTTGAGGACTAGGATAAGTTCCTCGGTACCTGGTACCTTCGAGGGAGTGTGACCCGTAGGCCTTTCACTGATGTAATAGAGCAGGACCTGTGCATACTGATCGAGATACTTCGCAAATACCTTCGCAAGCTCCGCAAGGCTAGCGCCAGTAGATAGCTTCGCGCATTGCTGCAACGAATGCCGGTAGAACGTGAATAGGTCGGTGGAAGAGGATATAACAATGTGCGAGTCAAATTCTTCATCCGCTGGCTTCGCGGGTTGTTGGCGGTATTTAGGGATAAGCGCAGCCAGCTGCTTGTCCTGGGCCTCAACCCAGACGCTCAGGTAGGGCTCGAATGCCTCTGAGATGGCTTGACCAAAGACTGGTGCCTCACTCGAGGCGAACGTATCAGTCGAAGGCCGAGATGGACTGACAAACCGCCGTTCAAGGGAATGCTCAAAGTCCAGCGTCTCTTGTAGACAGGACAGTAGCAGGTTGACATCAATGGTCTGGCCGTTGCGCACCGATCGGGAGAGAATGCCCTTGAAGTCCTCCCGCGTACCTTCGCAGAAAACATTCGCCAGAATCTCGTTGACCCTCCAGGAGGCGGGAAAGATGGGCGCATATTCCTCATCGTAGTTCTTCAGAATCCGCCTGAACCAGGCATACCGCCGTGAGATATTGTCCAGTGACCCGGCCTCTTCGTTGTTTCTAAAAACCTGGCGATATTCACGTAGCTGGAAGTTGCAATACCAGGTCACCAACCTGGACTTTGCGTGATCACCAAGCGCATCCATAACCAAGCAGCCCTCCGAGAGCACGTGCCTCTTTTGGCCAACTTCCCCTTTCGCGAACGCCAACTCGAAGTCCTCGCAAACTTGCTCCAGAAGCTCCCGTTGTATATCCGCAACGTTCCGACTGAGCAGTGCAATCTGATCTATCGAGCGATACGACTTGAAGTGCGCCATCAACTGTATGACCGCCTGTAGCAGCTGAGCACAGTCGCGGTACTGCCGCGTCCGGCCCAGAGAACGCAGTTGGTCGTAGGCTGTCGTTAACATCTGCAGTCTCTTCAGGACCGTCATCGACAGCGTGAGGTTCTTCTTCGCATTGTCCAGCTGCTTGATATCCGCCGTCATCTCCGTAATGGCCAGCTCCGTCCTGGACGCGCGGTCGCGCACATCGTCAATCTTCTTGAACAGCTCCGTCAAGTCGGCCTTGGCGGCCTGGATGCGCTCGACACTCTCCGCATTGGAAGTGACCTGGTCCTCTACCAGTGCGCCGATATCGTTGTCGAGCTCATCCTCATATTCGCGGAGGGACTGGGAGACCTGGGATACCGACGACAAGGTGGAGGGGTGGGAGAAGATTGAGTTCAAGTGGTCGATCGGATCGTAGTCCGCTGCGAGATTGGATCTATTAGCAAGCTCCCTGCTGGGGTAGGTCGTCAATGGCAGCCCTCACCTGCGTCCAAAGGATCGAGGGGGCCCTCCCCGTTGGAGGGCATTTGGCCGGGGGTGGTGGTAGTAGTAGTGGCGGACATTCCATTAGCTCCTGAGCGTCAACGCCAGACACATGCTGCAATGCCAGCTAGGGGGCATCCGCCAATTCAACATGTAAGCATAAACCCAAGAGCGAAGGCTACCAAAGGAGTGAACAGGACCCGAAAACGACAAGCTGTAAGGTCCGCGGGGGAGGTTGTTGATGCCGGAGCCGCAGGTCGGGAAGTTGGCGACAACTCAGCCCGGCTCCGTCAATCAGTCAGTCACGGGCAGCTCTGTAGTCTTAGCGCTTTGCCCGCGCCGCCGGGCCTCGTCATCGCTCTTGTCTGTTCGTCGGAAACAGGACAGGCGCATGATAATCCAACGTTTATGTTATTTTTATGAAGGTCAATTCTACAAGCTATTCAGAGAGATAGATGGATAGGTCAAGTCGCATCGACCTGCAGGTCATTGCCCCCAGAATCGATCCTAGGTTTCTGGTTTGATTGAACCACCCCTTGTACCGCAGGTCTCGTCTATATGGACATGAAAATCATCGTGGTCTTTTAGTATACATTGAAGGAAAATTAAAGCAATTGTAACGAGCTCCGAAGCCATTCGCCCAAGCCATGCATCAGCAAATCACAAATAAAGAGACAGTCGACTCCGATCAAACACCACCAGGAACCTCCCGACGAAAGCCGGGGATTCGAAGACCAGACTAAGTCTGGAGGAGAATCGCTCGAAAAGTTGTTCCTCGTTCATTTGGTATATCTTCTTCTTCGTTTTTCTTTTTCATTTTTTTCTTTTAGTAATTGGCCCTTCCCTCCTTGGTCAAATTACACTGCTGCGGGTAGAAAAGCATCCGGAGGCAGTGTTCCCTGCGCCTGCAAAAGCTTATTAGCGCATGGTTGTAAGTGAAGAACACACTCTAGACTCACCTTAAGTTCCTCGAAGTTCTTCAGTGCAGCCTCCATATTCCAGCCATTTCCAGACAAAGCCATCTCAGAGTACTGAAGGGTCATCCGAGTATTAGAGCTCATCTGAAGTACTAGCTGCTCTTGCTGGACTTGTGTGTCTGCTTTCCCAGGCGCCGGCATGCCGTAGCCTTCGGGGGCACCCGGAATAGCTACTGGTAGTGCTGCAGGTGCCGCAGGCGCTGCGGGTGCAGCCGCAACTGCTGGAGGTGCTGCTTGGGGAACGGCTGGTGCAACCTCTGGAATCCATGCCTCGTGTCCACCATAGGCTCGCAAGCAGAGAAGATCACTGACGACCCTAATTCCGCCCATACCACCACCGGGCCCGATGATGAATGTTCGATCGAAACTGCGCGTTTCAACCTTGGCCCCGTTTATCTCGTCGAACTTTCCGTGCACCATGATGAGAAGACCACCAACACCCGTGGAGCTCTGTCCAGAAATATCAGGAAGACCTGGGATGGGGTAGCACTCGATAAGCCATTCTTCCGGGTGCGTCGCAATGTCAGGATGTCTTGTCGCCGGAAGACTAGTCCACAACTCGCGTATCTTCTCCGCACCAGTATATACCCTAGACATGCGTGCAGGGAGATGGCTGATCTTCAGAAGGTTTCTGCTTTTCTTAATATACGCATCCCAGGGCGCTGTTTCTGTTTGTTGGGCCCTGGGAGCCGATGTGTTCACATTGAGAGTGAACGTAGTGTGGTTGTCGTAGACACTGCTGAGAATGCCGCTTCGGTCGTTGTCGTAGCCCGCGAAGAAAGCCCGGACGAAGTTCTCTGCGATCTGAGAGTCGTCCTGGAAGTGTGGTGGCTGCACTGGAATCGGAGTCTTCTTCTGCGCCGCTATTTCTTCTGCGGTGCGGACTTCGACATTATTCAGGAACCGGAGCTTGGGATACCACTTCAGCATGGTATCCTTGAAAGTAGGGTCGGCGCTAAAAGGAGTGTTTGATAGGTCGAGAAACTCGAGGTTCCGGAATTTCCAGCGCCATCCAATCAAGGACTGCGCATCTTTAAAATCATTGTTGGAAAGGTCCAGATTTTTCAGGTCGGGAATTGTCGATGCTAATGTCGTCACAGCTGTGATGTTGGCAAGCTGGTTATGAGCGAGACTGACACTCTCCACTGCCTCTCGGCGCGCCGTGGCATTGTCGAAATTCAGCTCCCAAACTTTCATCAGTGCCGGGAAGAATTTTGACTCGGTAGAGGTGCTGCCAAAGATTCCCATTGCCAACAGATCCGGATCGGTTCCCAACTTCGAAAGATCGAGTAACTTTGTTTGCTGGGTGTAGCGCTTGCCGAGAATTGTCGTCATTTTCGCCTTGGTCTCGGCAGCAGAGGATGTGCCGCCATTTTGTGCCATGGCAGACAGCATAGGCTGGTCCAACAATCCGCCAGTAGATGGATCATACTTTTCGGTGGTAAGAGGGGCACCTGCAAAACTAAACCCATTGAGCTGAAGCATCCTTTCCAACAACTCTGGCCGAATAGAGACGATAAGAGCGTCGCCTTCAACCCGCGACTAATGAACGTTAGTAAGGCATAAGGGACCTTGCGAGCCGCGCCATTCATCCAAAAGAACAAACGCCAGGAGAGATTAAGAAAGTGCCGATCGTCGTTCTGAACGCACCACCCCTGCAAACGAGAGCACATCGGAGAGGACGAAGCTGATAATTGATGTCGGTGACCGCCAGTTCTGGTGTTGCACATACCTTTGTAATCCTTGCGCGTGTGCCAGCTTTCGAGTCGGGTGGGCTGAGTTTTTTCTCGAGGAAGGCGATGAGGGATTCGAGACCGCCGTCACGGTTGGAAGCTGCCTTGCTTTGCTTCCAGCCACGAACAATAACCTGTTCCAGACCACTTCCCCGTCCTCCTTGTCGGATGTTCGCCTGAGTGTCTGAGTTACTGGAAATGGCCTTTTGGATCGCATCCATGGCTTTGTTCGCTGCCTGCGACCGGCCGGAATCGCCACGACCCTTCTTTCCACGGTTTCGTGCAGAGCCAGCGTCCATCATCAGATCACCTTCTCGATCGACCCGTGTCGCAGCACCCCGCTTGCGAATGCCTCCACGATCCGAACCCCCCGAGCGACCGCGAGAACCTTTTCCGCCCTTCATCTTGATAGAGGCGATAGTTTTCGTAGTAATCTTTCGTATGAGGAGAGAGGGCGAAGGAGGGGATGGTAGATGTTGAGTGTTGTGGAGGCGAAACGAGCGCTGCTCGCCTTTAGTAGTTCGAGATCGGATCAATAGACATACAACGATCGATTCGAAGAGGTTTCGTAGGAAGGAAGAAGAAAATGCGAAGTAGCGAGAGAATTACCCGATGCGATACTTGTGAGAGGTCGAGGACGGTTCAAGTTAAGCAACCGCGAACCTCGATGTGGGGGAGGAGTGTTATGAGAGGGGAGGAAGAGAAGCAAGAAGACGGAGTCAGCGCAGAAAAAGTGACGTTGAACCACCAAAAGCAGTTGCCCGCGAAGCTGTGCAGAGTCACGTGGGCGGCCGGGCGCAGGCCCTCCACGTGATTGTGCACCAGGCACAGGGCGATTGACCAATCAGAGGCTGTAGTCTGTCCTTTGGCACGGACGGTAATACACAATACCGATGCACCAAAGTGGACAGAGGTTATTACGCGGCTAGTCCCGATCTGGTAGTGGCATCCATCGGAGGAGTGGTTGTTTCTCCGCTTCATCAACAGGACAGCTGGAGCTTCCATCGGCCTGTTTCCCCAAGGACTGTCTGCTTGTTGATCGTCCTCAGTCGTGCGCAAATCGCGACTTCCCGTGCTTGTCCAATCTTTTTATCCGACTTGGTTCGCGTAAGGTTGCCCCCGTCTTCAATCCTCTGCATTCATTGATCCTTCCTCGAACTATTCAGCTTACATACGGTTCTCTCCAACAGGCTTCATTCCCGCGGGCACTAGCTGGTCTTTAGTCGGACCAACGCTCCTTTGTCTATATCCCCAAACACTCCTTCGTATTCATGTCGATCAATTAGAGAAATGCCGGCGAAATCGCGTTTCACAAGGCTAGATGCCTTTGCTAAAACAGTGGAGGATGCGCGCGTCCGTACCACCTCCGGAGGTGTCATCACCATAGCCTCGTTGCTGGTCATCCTGTGGCTTGTGTGGGGTGAATGGGTGGACTACAGGCGGGTGGTTGTTATGCCCGAACTGGTGGTAGATAAGTCAAGAGGTATGATAGCTTAGTGATTGCTGGACGGCTAGTCATGACTTGATTGCTGATGAACCCTTCGAACAGGCGAGAAGATGGAGATTCACCTAAACATAACCTTCCCCCGTCTTCCCTGTGAGCTCCTGACTTTGGACGTCATGGATGTCTCTGGCGAGCAACAGACCGGTGTTGTCCACGGTATCAACAAGGTGCGCCTTACTTCTGCCGCAGAAGGAGGCCGCGTCATCGACGTTAAGGCCCTTGAGCTGTAAGTTGCAACTCCAAACCGGCTCCTGCCAACGCCAATTGCACTGCTAACTATAAACTCTCCTAGTCACTCCAAGGAAGAGAGCGCCAAGCATCTCGACCCTGATTACTGCGGTGAATGTTACGGCGCGACTGCTCCCGCGGGTGCGAGCAAACCTGGATGCTGCAACACCTGCGACGAAGTCCGTGAGGCCTATGCACAGCAACAATGGGCATTCGGAAAGGGCGAGAACGTTGAGCAGTGCGAGCTTGAGGGCTACGCGGAGCGCATCGATGCGCAACGCCGTGAGGGCTGCCGCCTTGAGGGTGTCCTCCGTGTGAACAAGGTGGTCGGTAACTTCCACATCGCTCCGGGTCGCAGTTTCACCAGCGGAAACATGCACGTCCACGACCTCGCAACCTTCTTCGACGCCGAATTGCCCGAATCTGAGAGACACACCATGACTCACGAGATCCACCAGCTGCGGTTCGGACCTCAACTTCCCGACGAGCTCTCTGATCGCTGGCAATGGACTGACCACCACCACACCAACCCTCTGGACAACACCAAGCAGGAGACAAACGAGCCCGGCTACAACTACATGTACTTCGTCAAGGTGGTGTCGACCTCTTACCTTCCCCTGGGTTGGGATCCGTTGTTCTCGTCCTCCATCCACTCCGCGTATGAGCAGGCCCCTCTTGGCTCCCACGGAATTGCATACGGTGCCGAGGGCAGCATCGAGACGCACCAGTACTCTGTAACGTCGCACAAGCGCTCGCTGATGGGCGGAGACGCCTCCGACGAGGGCCACAAGGAGCGTCTGCATGCCGCCAACGGCATTCCTGGAGTCTTCGTTAACTACGACATCTCCCCCATGAAGGTCATCAACCGGGAGGCCCGTCCCAAAACCTTCACCGGTTTCTTGACTGGTGTGTGCGCCATCATCGGTGGTACCCTAACCGTCGCGGCAGCCCTAGACCGTGGTCTCTACGAGGGTGTCAGCAGGATGAAGAAGCTCCACTCGAACTGAGCGTAGAGCAAGCAAAAATCCGAAAAGAATTGAAAAAGTAAACCGAACAACCAAAGTCACAACCTACTAAACAGAAACGAAAATACAAACACAAAGTAAGACAGAAAAGAAAACAAACAGACCCCATGGAGAGCGTTGTATGGAGTATAGGGGCAAGAAGCCAGACAGAAAGACAGGGGGAGCGAAAGAGCAAGAAAGGACGGATGAAAGGGAGAACTCCGGAAGTTCAGGCGTTGCATTTATTACTCACCTACATTGATTGCATTTCTGATCCATTTTGATCTTGGTCGGGGGAAAACACATTGATACACCTATTATTTTGCCTTCTATATCATTGGTACTATTATTTTGGTTTACTTGATTTTGTTTCCATAAGACACATAGCACGTATAACAGCCTTTGCATGGGTACTACCTGCCTACAGATTGTGTATTGATTGATTGATTGATTGATTGATTGATTGATTGATTGATTGATTGATTGATTGATTAATTGAGAAGTTGCTAGGATGTTGGTCCTTCGTAAACGCCACTACACTAAGCAAAGTACTAGCTTCAGCTATTGTTGCATTTGATTGGTCCTGGTTGACTACTAGTACGGCTTAGTCTCATTGTGCCCTAAGGCCATTCTTAGTATTGGAATTTTGAAGGAATACCATGAACAAAGGGACTATAATCTACGTTCACTGGTCGGGTCATTCCGTTCTACTTTTTATTCCCTTTGAATTGTTTGTTGAGCACATTCTTGAGGCAGAAAAAATATGATTCTTGATTTGAGGAAGAGATATGGCCACCCAATGCCAGGAGTGCAACTGCACTCTTTAAAAAGCAACAAATACTACCTGACTATGCCATGCGTGCAAGACAAAACAAGGAACATTCCCGAAGATACTCCGTAAACCCAATGAAAATGATCGCTTTCACCCAATCAAGTCCAAAATATAGAGCAGGTAGCCTTTGAGGCGTTCAAACGTCTAACTCTAATATGTAGAGAAAGCTCACGGGGCTAATGCAAGATGAAGTAAAGCAAAGAAGGGTTTAGATCATGAATTTACGCAAAGGAGAGGAAGTTGAAGTAGGATAGACATAAGGAGATGGGATGTGAAAGGAGGGGATGAAAATGACAGGTTTAGTAATGCAGGGTGCTGGCATTACCAGAGTAGCCTGGATGTTGGCCATAAGGCGGGTTTTGCTGGTAGATTGGAGGAGTTTGCGCCTGCTGTGATGCGAATTGTCCGTACCAAGACTGGCGCCGGGGTTCATCTGGCCGGTATGGCTGGTTGAGGGCATCCCACGTGCGGCTCGCCGTGGGCATATTGTATAGACTATAGTGACTGCCCGGATTGTAGGCAGCCGCGGAAGCGTTGGAAGCCATCTGCTGTTGTTGCCAATTTTGCTGGCGTTGCACGATCGCATGCTGTACCATTTGGTTGGACAGGCCTTCACGGATGGTTTTCTTCTCGCGCTCACGAGCATCAATCGCTCCCACCAGACCCATGGGGTTAACCGGGGTCGGCTGGGCTTTGTTGACATTGGATATGTCGAGTAGAGGCGCACCAGTCATACGAGCCACGTGTTCCTGTTCACGAGCTGAAAGATGAGACGACAGTTCATTGTAGTTCATGATGCTGTTGGCCCCGCGGGAACGTGGGCGAGGCGGTGCATCTCGATTGCCAGACAAGTGAGATTGGGGTCGAGAATTATTGGTCCAGTCCCCGGAAGCAGGGCGAGGGGGCGGTGGTGTAGAGGAAAGAGTTCGGTTATGGGTGGTGATTGGGGGACTTGGGGCTGATCGTTGTTGCACGAATTGCTCCGCTGTAAGCCTGCCTGGAGTGGTCGGACGGGGTGCAGTCATACCCGGCTGCCACATCATGTTATTACTCGGAGACCTTGAATGCTGTCGTTCTGCCTGATAAGAGAACTGCTTTTCTGTTGAGTTTGAGTCGCTCCTCTGGTGTGTGGATTTCTTCAGAGTATCGCCCGTACTGGGACGCCCAGTCGTAGGTAGATAAGTTAAGGTCGGCCCAAAGTCGATGCTGGGGATATCGGCACTGGGTTCCAGTTTGGGTTCGTCAACGGTGTAATGTGCATCACCGATGACCAAGTCTTGTCTCGGGGGACCAGATCCCACGGTTTTCATGACTCCCATTCTGGGCCTAGTGACTGACCTAACCGAGCGCTTGCTGTAGATAGACCCCCGAGTACTGGCATAATCGGGAGAAGTTGCAGACGCGTCATCATATATGCTTTCCTCATCTTGGTGGCTCTCTTTATCAGGAGAAGTGAGCGAGAACTGGCGGGAGCCGACCCAGTTCAGGACCTCTTCATCAACAGTATGGCGCAGGTCCTCGTAGCTAGGCTCTCCTGCAACACTTGCGGCATCGGATTCTCGGATCTGATGCGTAGGCAGAGGCTTCCGTTTTACAGCCTTTGTTGTATCTAAACGAAGACTTGCTCTCTTCGGCAAAGTGAGCGGCGGGCCGAAGTTACTTGGACGATCTTCAGGCGTCGGTGGCCCTTGTTCCTGGAGAGTAGCTCTCTTCTCGCTTGTATCTGATAAAAGCGATGGCGCACCCTGCTGATCAGAGCTAGTGTTAGGAGTTAGCGGACTAGGTTGGTTGGACTCCTTGATCGTTTCATGGCTGCCCGAAGGGAAAGAAGCGCCAAGCAGATTCATGCTTCCAGAGGCAGCGAGAAGCTGTGTCAAAGTGGCGTCAGACATCCTATTAGTCGCTTTTCTCAAATCCGGTGAAGGCTGAGGTCGCATTGCGGGCATTTCTCCCGGTGCGTGTGTGAAGGCCGGTGGCAGGACTACAGGAGATGGAGGGGATGTTGAACGGAAGTGATGTCCAAGCGGCTCATCGTCGGGGTCGAGTTGCTGATGCCTGTCGCTCCCGGTGCTTCTGTGGTCGTCTACCCCGCTAGTACCAGGGCGCTCACTGCCACGTGCCACAAGTTCCTGATCGGAGGATGCTGGGGATGCTTCAGCGGCTTGCGCTTGTCTTCTGATGGAAGCAAATCCAGCCGTGTCCGAAGAGCCTCTACTATGATGAATTGGAGAGATGGAAACATCACTGGGGGCACCAGGCGCAACAGCATCGTTGGACTGGTTAGAATCTAGCCGGTTCACCGGGGAAGTGCAGTTGCGTTGATGCGTCATGGTGCGGCCGTTGGATTGTCTGTTCGGCATTGTGGACCTGAAGCGTGGCTTACTTGCAGAGATGCTGCTCGTCCTGCTTCCAGCAGCCGCCATGCGACGCGCTGTAGCCTCCTTGAGTTGCTGTCTCCATTCCGCCTCGCTCCAATCCTGACTTCCTGGTGTCTGCATGAGACTGGAGATATCCAAAATATCAAGATAGCCATAGCGCCTTTGGTTCGGAAAGGCAAACATAATGCTTTTGATATGGTTGGTGGCGGCAATAAGGCGAGTGGGCCGCCCATAAAGGTTGAACGTGTCAAATGTAGGGACGAGAAATCGGAGCATCATCTCAAACCCAGAAACCGCTGGATGAACTTCGGGCATGACGAAGACAAACCCGTCGGTTGTCGACTCTGTTTGTGAGTGAACCGTAATCTTTCCTTCGATCTTGACCAGGGTCGACTGTTCGATCAACGCCCTCGACTGGGGATAGATGGCGTAAGCGGCGTATGCATCCGTGATGGTCGCAATAGGCCTCGCTTTCTTGGTCTTCTTCGTATCATAGAATTTGATGTCGCCAGTTATCAGTCTGGGTGCTCGATCATACGCCGACTTCTTCTTTATTGACTTCTGCGCTTTCTGGAATTCCTTCTCATTCGGAGGCGTGATAACAAACCAGCACCGTCTCCAGGGCGTGCCTGCCCCGAATCTCACGCGGGCCCAATCCTCGTGTTTGTAACGGTGGCGATCCAGAATGGTTTTAATACTGTTGAGACCTTTACCCTTGCCCGCAATGATCGAACCCGTATATGCCTCATATAAGGACGTGTGTTCGAACAAAGCGAGTCGTATGGCTGCGGTCCACTGCGTCAGAGAGTGGAAGGAATTGAAATGCAAAAGGTATCTATTTTGACCAGCGGAACATATACTCAAGATGTTCTTCAGGGACTGCGCTCCTTGGTTTCTCGTTGGCAGAGTCTCAAGCTAGACCAGCGACAGTTAATAATCAGAATCAAGTGCTGCAACATCCGAGATTGCATCATCTTACCATCTTTATTGAAGCATCAGCCAGGTTAATGAAAGTAGGGCAGACGTCTTCCGACTCTTCTGCGGCGTCCAGCGCTGCGGCATCCCATAACGAAAGAGCGGTCCCGACAAGCTGCGCATAGCATTCCACCCATTGGCGATCAGCACAGGGACGGCCATCTGCGATGTATTGTAATTAGTACGACATTGGACGATAACAAGCTCTCGGGATACCCACGAATGTCCAGATCGTTCAACTTAAGGAAATATCCTTCGTGGTATAGCTTGTTGGCATGGCTGTTCAGATATCCAAAGATTGGTTGGAGCTCTGGAGGGGTATCCTGCGAGAACTCCAGCAGCGGAGGATTGTGAGAGAACAGCGTCGACTCCGGCCGCGATGTTACCCGTCGTTCGACATGTGGAGTCCCGCTTATCGGCGAAGCATCGAGAGGCGAGGGGGTATCCGAAGAAGGTGTGTCTACTCTTCGCGGAGGATTGTTCAGTGTGAGCGAGGCCGACGATGTCCGGTGATGCTGGCTGAGGTTGTCTTTACGGGACGATCCCCCGAAAACCGACATAAGAGAAAGCACTGGGAGCGCAAGGGGTGTCAATCACCGTCATCTGCATTTTGTATGGGAAGTATAAGAGGATATGCTAATGACCTACCACGCGAGCGACCCATGATGGCCAAACTGGGGTTTTAGCCCAAAGAGACAATAGAACTGAAGAAGACCGGCTTCCAGCTCACTCGAAAAAGTAGGATTTGTGTTACACAACGAACATGCAGACTGCGCGGAAGGGTTGGGGCCGAGTAGTGCCGCTACGGGAATAAATGGGGAGAGAACGAGAGGCGAAAGAGTCGGCGAAGAAGAAGAAAGAAGAAGTGTGTAGTACTGAGTCCAGCTCCTCCGCACGGAGATAGCGACAATGTGTCCGGACCCGCCAATACTAGATCAGGAAGTTTGATTCCATCAAGTTTCCGGTGGGACTGGGGGGAGGCGCCCAAACGAAAGACAGGAGCGGAAGGGCAAATAAGACCGCGGCAATGCTGGAACAAGTGCCAAGATGGCGGATGATGGCGCAAAGTCAGCTTTGCAAGCGCCTGACTAGACCACTTGATGTCTCAGGTTTCGATGGCGGAGAAAGCGGAAGGGAATGAGTCGGAAAGTGAAGGAAAGGAGAGGCAGGGGGAGAGAGGAGATATAGATAGAGCGAGTGAGGCGACAGAGAGGGAAATAAAATGAGGGAGAAAAAGGGCAAAGCTGGACAGAAGGAAGCATAGAGGATCAGTGAAAGGAAGCACAAGCCGACGAGCGTTGAAGGACGATCAACTTACTTACCCAGCCTAAGGCGTGGGTCTTGAATGTTGTGAGTGTAACAAGTGTTACCGGACTTATAGTAGGGTCGGCTTGTTGTTTTCTCTTTCCTCCTTTGAGATCTGAATTGAAGGAGAGTGGATCTGGGGTGTTATTTGTTGTTATTTGTTTGTTAATATTCCGAATGGAGAGACTGAGAGTAAGAAGTAGATGTCACATAGAATAGAATATTCTCGTAGTAACGAACAGTGTATAGCAAATGACAGGGAGAGGGAAAAGAAGTGAAGACGAAGCCGCAGATACCCATCCGTCATGCTGGATGGACCTGCGGGTCAATACTGGGTAAGTTATGGTGTGTGTTGTGTGTTACGGTACCGCAAAAGTGGTTCTGGCCCGGCTTGTCTGCCTGGCGGCTGGCGTCATCGCATGTGGCTACAAATTGAACTTGAAACTAATGTGCCTCCTTTAGACTAAAGATGGTCCCAGACGGACGGGCCACCAGTCTCGCATTTCCTTTTTGCTGCCCTTTTCTTTTCTTCTTTCTTTTTTTTCTTCCTTTTTCTTTTTCAAACTCCGATCCCCTGCCCCTGCTGCTTCAATCTCCCCCAAAAGTCATTCCAATGAGATCGGCATGGATCATAAGAAATAACTGCAGGTCAACTAACGAAGTACGGGGTAATACCTGGGATATTAGTTGTTGCCTGGCTTGCTGCAAGAGATGAAATTGACAATAAATGGGTCGCTAGTAGATAGGACAGGCGAACCGAATTCGCTAGTAATCAAAGAGAAACAATCCTAATAAAATGACACTATAGTAATATACATAATAAAAAATAAATGAATAACAGTCATCAGAAAAGAAGTAAGTAACTAAGTAATGGACACCTATGTGGTATTATTGAGTAAAGTATTTACTGTCATTCCCCCCCCCCCCCGTGGACAAGCCCCAACCGGGTCAGTCAGTCAGCCATCCGAGCAACCCATGGATGGCCGGGTGGATTATCCAGTCTATTCCACTAAAAAAGCACGCCCCCCGCGTAACTGACTCTAGCACTGCCTCCAATCAGCTCATGCCGTGAATCAAAATAAGAAGTCAGTCCTATGGTTGCATCCCACCATCTCGCCAAATATAGAAACGCAGTCCTGCATGTCTTAATTGCGACTGCCACTTCCCAGCCAATTCCACCGGTCGTCCTTTGTTTTTGCCTCTGCTCATCAACCCATGTTTCTCACCCACGAGGTGAGGAGAGGAGACAACGTATCCCGCCAAGTGCAGTCTGACCAGTCATCGTACCCGCTGGTCTCTTATCTAGCAGCCAGAGGAAAACTTAGACTGACCCTCGTAATGCGAAGTACTAGACTAGATATATCATGGTACGATTGGATGGATGAATGGAGGTGGATGGAGACAGGAAAGGCGTCGTCGTGTCCCTTGTCCCTTATGGACGGAAGAAATGCAAGGCGACAGTCAGAAAGAGGAATGGTTCGGGAGTCAATAATCCACTGGCGCACTGCCACAGGCCCGCCGTGCCACACGGCATCAGATGATCTTGGCGGGTAGCTTCACTGAATACTAGACTGCTACTTGCATCTGTTAGCAACTAATAGATAGTCCGCTGTGCTCCTTGTTTCCCAACTTGACTTCTCCCACACTATAAATAACCGGAATACAATAAATGTCCATTATTCACCCGAAATAATCGGACTGGATCTCCAGTTCCAGCTCGGCCCAAGCCCATCGAGACAGGAATAGTCCCGAAAGCCTATACCCCTGCTAAGGTCCGAGGCTAAGAATAAGAACTTGTTTAGTTCGAATCTAAAATTATAAGCGGCTGGGGTTGCTGCGTTGGTACGTATCGTTAGTCGTTTGTCGGTACCCTGCTATCCGAGCAAAGTAATCAATTAGCAAGGGTCCTTCTCTCTGTGTCTTAGTTAGTGCGATGCTGGGGACACTGCAGAGCAGCTATCCGCAATTCTAGCCTCACCCAAAGTGGCTGCGGCATTTGCTCTTATCAGACTGGGTTGAACAGAGAGCATCAACTTTATTCATGATGCTGCAGGTTATGTAACCTTAACTCAGGCGGTAAATCAGGATGTGCCCCGTTTATAAGACGCCTACTATTGCTCAGCATCCTCTCCCTCGACCAAAGCCACCGATGATTCGTTGTTGACTGTGGCTGGTCAGCATAACAAGCGATCAAATCACATCTTTTTCTAGAAGCACGTACTTTCATACTTTGAGATGTTCGACAGGGTGTACGCACTCCGTAGTGCAAACCCCAGCCCGCGACCCACCGGCCAGGGTGTTTCCCCTCTTAGTCTGCTAAGGCTGCGGAGCTCTCCAAAGATGATCGCAGGCTTGACGCGCAAACTCCTAGCAGCGATCATTGCTGGTTAAGAGATGATGTCGGCAGCATGACCTCAGCTGTAGGGTCCAGCGCGGGAAAGCTTCTCTTACCACGTAGGCATGTCCTGCGTTCGATAATTTTCTTGAAGATCCAACCAGTCTCCTCCGTCCTGTTTCTCCGCTTACGAATTTTACTCGCTTGATCGTCGCTCCCTTGAAGCATTTCATTGGGACACGATTGCAGGATCAGCCTTGCGGTTGTCATGATGCAATCAATCCTAGCTTGTGAGGTATGACAGCTTTTTTTTTCCCCCTTCGCCTTACGGCAAGCTAAGACTCAGTACTTTTTGAGGACAGAGTAGGATATAATAATGGAAGAGAGATGACCCTCAAGTCCTAAGCGATCTTCTGCCACATGAGTCTTGTTGTGTTTCACCTCTGATGGAGTCCCTTTCTGTCTCCACTTGCTTTAGCACACCCCCTACTTTGTGGAGTCAGCTGCAATTGAGTTTCGGCTTGAGGACAAGCTCAGTGATAGGTTTACCCTCGATGACCGTGTATCGCGTGTAGTCATCTTAACTAACTTCGGTTGCTTTATATCAATATTTCTACGAGCATATCTCTGAGGGCACACAGTACGAGCCCCACTCAGGGGGAGGGGCGCCTGTATCTGACCTTTCGCAGACATCAGACATCCTACAGGGTCCCTCGAACTGGAATGAACGTCGGAACCCCAAACATTGATTATCAAACGGCGATATTGCTATGGTTCTCATACTGTCAAATAGCCGTGCCTGCCAAGACCATAGCTGTCGGCTGTCATGTGCCTTGAAGTGTTCTCATGGGTCAAAAGGGTCTTCTGACCTACGGCTTCGTAATATAACCCTAGCGACATGACATGTCTAGGCAAATGCATTTCCACATTCTTCAAATTCATCCCATTTGTACGTTGACTGGATGCAAATTTCATCGGTCTTTAAGTTTGACCTCCCCGGTATCGGACGTATAAGGCTACATGAGCCTTCCGCAAAATGTAAATACCAGAAAAACACTTTGTTGTGTTTATCGAGCTAAACCAGTCGAAATTTTGCATTCTAAGAATCGGAGGGGCTAATCTGAGTACCTGGTCATCTTAAGTGTTTTTCCGTATCTGCCATTTGGTCATATGCCCATCATGTCTCATACCCCGGTGACTCGTGGGTATGGTTCGACTGTGCTTAATATATCGTGAAGACTATCTTTGCTATAACTTCATGTCACCTTAGGCATCAAATGTCACCGGGTCCTGGACCGAATCTCGCAGTTAGCTTCGAATACTAGCGTCAGGTCCAGTTTCGTGACTTGGAGATGTTAGCTCTTCGATTTAGTTGTCACTCTTCATGTTCATGTGGATTCGCACAAGCTTCCCTGCTCGCACCTAGTTGCGGATGCTCCTATCAGGGATATCCCGTGATATGAAGGATACTCGGCACAAGTTGTAGGGTGTCATTCGTAAGTACACACTCCACTGACCGGCTGGGACGGTGAGGTTCGTGGGAGTCCATCGAAACCTTTCTCTAGCACTGTATGGCTGTCTGCAAATAATATTGTTCCATCTGCAAAATTCATAAAAGAAGGTATACCGGTCGGGTTTTCTAAGATGACACAGCTAAAAAGGAAGGAGAGGGGTTGAATATATCAGGTCCTTCATGGTATTCTATGACTATAGCATTCCTATATTTTGGTAAGCTGGCACTGATATTAACCAAATCAAAAAGAAAACCTTGTACATCAGTTCAAATTGATGGCACTATTGGGGCTAAGTGATGGGCAGAATGTGTCTTTCCCTACCATCAATGCAACTCTCTGGTTTTCACTGGGCCTCCCATTCACTACGCGTGCCAGAACTTGCTTCTGCTCCCATTCACTCCCCTCTCGCTTACTCCGTGTTTGCTTGTGTACTTTCTACTCAAACCTCCTTTCTCTTCCGTTGTGAATCCTTCTGAGACCAACATTCGAGATTTCACAATCGCCTTCATCCCTCCCAGCATACTAGAGGTCTGTGAATACTTTCAGAAAGCACCTCCCTGGTCTGCGGGGTAGGTTGCCAGAGGATTGGAAAGTTCGCAGCACCTTCGACAATAACAGGTAGCCTCTTGGTGTGTTATTCTACCTTCTTACCATATTCTCTCCCAAATTTAAACCTAACCAACACAGAAAATAAGGTCAATTCCGGTATGCTTTGGTCGGACTGTCGCCATGGATATCACCTGTTCTTCTCCGTTTGTCTCTGCACCGATTCAGGAGATGGTCGTCGAGCCGATCGACATCGTACTTGATGAGCCCACCGATACCTGTGCGATGGTGGAAGAGAAAGCCGAGGAGATCATCGAGGCCGAGAATGAGAGCCTTGACCAACTGATGATAGAGTTTACCAGAGGGTTTGATCCTGGAAGCTTTGTCGATGAGGTCTCTAACTCACTCCCTCGTATTCTCAAAGATATTTTCCCAGGTTCCTACGAGCATCTTCTGAGCATGCTGTTTGAAAGCGACGACAAAATGCACGCCACCCAGATGAAGCTAGAGGAATGGCTTCTCGAAAGATACCCTCAGATTCTCAACAAGATCGATACCGAACGCCAGGAGACAAACATAACCGATGAGACGTATTTTGGGGCTGAGATTGAGGTCTTAAGAAAGATGGTAGCATTCTTACGCAAGGAATCTGATAAACCAGTTTTCTGGCTCAATGCTCGGCGTGCAAGTCCTATCAAAGCTCGTGAGCAGCTTGAAGCATCTATCCGGGTCATCGAACTGTTCAAAAGCGATGTCATGATTGCGATGAAAATGGACACGGAGGATAGTGAGTGGCAATCCCAACTTGAAACTGCAAGAAGTCCATCAGCCTAACGCAGCATAGGAAAAATTTACAATCCTCTCCCCGTCTCCACGGAACGCACCGCTCTACTGAGTATCAAACAACTTCGGATTGACGCATGCAAGGCATCACTTTCTTGGGAAGGTTATATGGACTCTGCTATCGTGTTCACCTCTTTCTTCCATGCCTACAAGGCTTATACCTGCGTGCACAAGCCAGACAAAGCCCGTGCATGGGGCTGGCTCCCACCACAGGGACTTGCACCTCCACGCTTGTCTGCAGAGATAGCCCAGGTAGGCGATTTGGTAAAATGGGACTTTGAGCATGAAAACGGCGCATTCGATCTGCTACTCAAGACGGCCCTTTGGCTAGGTATGGCGAGAGGTCTCCCAGCTGTGCATCTATTCTGTGACGTCGCTCGACTTTTCACGACGCACAAGCCCTCCCCAACGGCAAACGAGCCATATATCCGATTTCTGCGCCATCTGGCCCAAACAAGAGTCTCCATTGCCGGAATCAAGTCCACTCCGCCCACGCCTGTTCCATTCAAGGGGTCCGACGAAAATACCAACCGTGGTTACTTCGAAGACGTATTCGATTCAGACAAGATCTTGGAGAAGGACCTAACCAAGACCCTTTCCTTGCTCGCCATGAATACCAATGACTTCAAGCTATCTGCCACGCCTCCAAAATACTCGTTTCGCAAGAAGGCGAAGATGATCGAGCAGGCTTGTGTTGTGGAAGAGAATCACACGGAGAAGTGGTCTCAGAAAGATCCGGCAAGTCAAGGAAATTCCTTTGATAGGTCATTTTGTATCCCTTTGCTAACATCGTGTTCTCCTAGCACCCTGTGAAACCTCCTTCTCCAATTCCTGAGGAACCTGAACCGGCCTCACCCCCGCAGGAGACGGAACCTGACTTTCTTGATCAAATCGAATACGTCTCAGTCTGTCCTTGGTGATTGAATATCTTGAGCTTTCAGGATTTACGAGGCATATCAGAACAGCTTCACCCATATGTCAGCTGCGATTTGAACAACATACTTTACGAACGTCTCTGATTGATCTCAAGATGAACAAAACGAAAAAAAATCTCTCCACTCTGTCGAAAGCAAGAAGGTATGCCAACCCAAGCTCACCTCATTGATTGGCGATTGTGAGCCGTACTTCAAGAAAATTACAAAGCCCCTCGCTCAGTTGTTACAATTTCCCTTCTATTTCCTTCAGTTGCCATCCCAGTCTCCAGGGTGCACCAGTTTCGACACTATGACACTCACCGTACGCCCATGTCATTGCCAAACCGCTCTAACTCTGGTAGTCAAGAGCAGTAGGCGAAGACTGTGGGCCGGAGAAGCTGACATTACCGTCGAAACAGGAGCCAATCCAGGATCGATCTAGGAAGATGCAAACTCGCTATTACTTCTTCAACCTCACTCTTATGTATTAGGCAAAATGACAGAAACAAAAAGAAAAGTCATCTCATCTCACCTCACCGCACAGTGGTCCGACCCTAACCAGGGGAAAAGACCATGAAGTTCATTTGTTGACGTTTTCCCCAATTCACACTCCATTCACACCACTCACCTTCTGTATGTGCAAACGTAAGCTGACCTTACTATCTACAGGGCAACCCTCTCTTTTTCTCCTCCTCGTGAGATCGCCGCGGCAACCGTGCAACGTTTGTGAAAAGTGTTCGATGACATCGTCCAGGACCCGCCTCTCTATTGTTCTTGTTCGTGATTGTATTACTTTGATTTATTCTATTCATTGCCTTGCTGGTTCAAGGTGCTTGCATGCATTCACTGTTATGTATACTACTGACTACTCTTTTCATCCTTGGCTTCCTACTTGCAAATATCCTCTCTTGTCACGATGATGCCGCTTCGCTGGCTGGCTGATTGACTATACATGATGTTGACGACACTGATGATCTTGCATGGAATGCGTTCCCCTGGCTTGCATTTTCCTTGTCTATTACGCATGTGGCAACTGGATGCTGCGCATCTTGGGGGCCGGATGGTGTGGGAAACATGTTGCATTTCGCATTTGAATCATCTAGAGACACTACCTAGCTAGAAGCTCGATCGTTCGAGACAAAATCATGGATAGGGAGAAGGGTAGGAGTCAAAGAGAGAGGGGGAAAGAGAGATAAAACAAAAATAGACACTAGAGACGATTCATTATGTTTACTTTTAAGTATCTTTTGATCATGAATTAACGTTATGTAACCCGAAATCGTGTCAAACAAATGTAAGTAGACCAGATAAGGTAGAAAAGAAAAGATTTTCCCCTATGAATCCGCCATATTATACGCCAACAAAGGATCAATCATCGCCATATCATCAGCACTGGGTATCTTAGAAGAAGAAGAAGGAACATCGACATCGACATCTTGAATCATAGCATCAGCAAAGTTGCTGGGGAAGTCGCCGGGGTTATTTTCATTAGTTGTAGGGTCACCACCATTGCCCATCGTATATAGACCAGGTTTTGCATCCGCATGCAAGATATACGGTTCATAAGGAGCGGAGGAGTCATCATTATCGAACTCGAGTCCATAAATACCGAACATGTCGCCGGTCACGGGCTCATTGCTATCCGCCAGTAGCGCGCGCTGCATGAACATATCGCGGATTTCGTCCTCGGTGCATCCGTGCTTACTGCCCATGTGGACCCACAGATCGTAGTTTCTGTGGAACCGGTGTGGACAGCCTTCGATGAAGCAGGTGATCTGTCGACCGGTCTCTTCGGCATAACCCTCCCCTGTGAGAGCGGCCAATGCGGACGGTCCGGTTTGGTGAGGGTCCGGTGTCTTGTTCAGACCTAGACGCTGTCGGCGCTCGGCTTTGGCGTTGGGGAAGCCGAGATGTGCGGTGCGAATGTGCTCCTCCAGGGCGAGTTTACTTCCGTAGCGTTTTCCGCAGCCGTCGGTGCCTGTCCAGCCGACGACTCGCTTGGACATGGACAGGTCGGTCTCGCCGCAGACGAAGCGCTTTTCGCCTTGGTGAACGGTGCGGATATGCACGGTTAGGTTGCCCTTCTTGGTGAAGCTGCTGTCGCAACCGGGTATGGTGCAGGGGAAGACTTTCCGCTCTTCTAGACTCACGTTGCCGTGGCTGACTTCCAGGTGACGGCGGAGCTCTCGGGCTGTGGAACAGGTCAGGTTGCAATTGGGGCACTGTGGGGGATGGACGGTTCGGATGTGGGCTTGGAGAAGGGCGTAGGTCGGGAATGTTGATGTGGTGGGAGCGGGAGTCTCGGATGATGATGATGATGGGTTGGCCTGCTCGGCATGCTGAGTACACTCCGTGCAGGTGAATCGTTTCTCGGTGTGGATGCGACTTTCATGAGCTCGAAGGTGTCCTGCGGTGTCAAATGCCATTGGGCATTTCTGGCCGGTAGTCGGGTCGATGTGCGGGCAAGAGAAGGGTTTCTGTTTCAAATGCACGCTCATGATGTGTTTTTGGAGCGTCGAGTGTTTCCGGAAGGTCTCATCGCAGGGCGGAAATTCTGTGCAGCGGTACTTGTCTCTTCCATCATGAGCAGCTATGTGTCGACGAAGCCGTGAGCCAGTTACGAAGCTCTTCCCACAACCGGGACGATCGCATACGTAGTCTCTGATACCGGTATGGGCACTTTTGATGTGGTGGCTCAGATGCGATGCTCGAAGAAACGTCTTATCGCAATCGTCGTGGGTACAGCGGAATAGTCGTTCATTGTTGTGTGAGCGCAAATGTTCCTGTAGTCGTGCTGGACGGTTGAAGGCCTTCGTGCAACCTTCGAAAGGGCAGCGGTGAGTTTTCAGCTCTGAAGGATATCTAGCGGAGATAGTCGACATTGGAGTAGCTGGTGTCTCGTGAAGACTACCGCTGGCGACACTGGAGTCATCCGAAAAGTCATACTCGGGGTCTGAGTGTTTTTCTTCATATATTGGGTCTGAAGTATCGGAGACATTTAGTATCAGACGGAATCTAGACTCGGCCTCTAGGCATATCTTACCGACATCGTCCAGCGTTGTCCGGCTTTGTAGCCGCTTCGCGTTGGGGAGATCCCCCGAGGCTTTTCGCTTCTGGGCCATAGCTCCGCGGCCCTCTAGACCATCCAAGCCTGATTAATGAGCACTGGACTGGCGACAGGAAGGAAAGAAAAATCAAGATGAAAGTGATGGCTGCACGACGACATCCAGAAATTTTGCCGAGGCGGTGAACAGCGGCACCCAAAGGAGTCTAGCGCCGGACGAGCAACAGGAACTTTTTCCGGGTTCTGAGAGTCGCGACTTCGATTTCTTCACGAGGAAGAAAAGCCCGTCGCAACAGTTCATTGTCTCGTCCTCAACCCGGCCCGGTCGCGGTGCTGTCATTGTTTTCGTTACTGCCATATTCGATTGGTGTTTCGCCCCAATTTTGCCCTACTTAATCCGCCACCATGTCTGACTACGGAGATCACGACGCTGAGGAAACGTAAGAGACCGGCGCCCCATGAGAGCTTGCGCAGGCCAATGCTGCGCGTCTGCGTTGCCTGTCGATAGTCGTCATGTCTTCTAGGTGAAAGTTTCGATGTTCTGACTAGGATTGTCTTATAGTTACGACTACGAGCCGGAGCAGGAGTACGATGACAACGAGCCCGAAGATTTCCTAAACCCCGAGGATGTCGATGTCGCAGAAGGAGGCGCCGATGAATATGGCGAAGGCTCATACGCGCCTGCTGTCAACGGAAACCACATTGTCGCTTCAGGCGACCCGAATGCGGGGTATGCGGGCAAGGTCATGGAGCAGACGCGGGAGAAGAAGGTCCCGAACGACCAGCGCCAGACAACTCCATACATGACCAAGTACGAGCGCGCGCGTGTCCTGGGTACTCGGGCCCTGCAGATCAGGTTCGTCTCGGCAATCGATGCGGCATCAAGGATGGGTTGAGAAGCGCAATCGGATGCTGACCATGTCTCTAGTATGAACGCCCCGGTGCTCGTCGATCTTGAGGGCGAGACGGATCCTCTACAGATCGCCATCAAGGAGTTGAACCAGAAGAAGATCCCACTGATTGTGCGGAGATATCTTCCCGACGGATGGTAAGCGGGCCTTCTCCATGTGTGGTTTGACAATTTGACGTATTCGATCTAATCATTATTTTTGTGATACAGGTACGAGGACTGGACTTGCGAAGAATTACTCTAGACGCGGAGACGACAGGTGGTTGTATTTTTTTTTCCAAATGGCTTCTTGGTACTTTATTGTGTATGTGTTTGGTCTAAGGATCTTTCCCTCTGGGCAGCATAGCGTTTGGAGTTTCGGAGTAGGGTAGCGGGCCATACTGGCCTAGGCAGCCACTGGGACACTGGGAAGACAAAGAAAACTCAAAAGAACAACGCACTGCAGTCTATATATTAGTAAAATTCAAAAAAGTTTGATGTTGACATGCTTTGGTGTGGAATAATCTAGGCCTTTTTGTTCGCGATCTACTGCTTTAGAGGCAATGGCGTCTTCACAGAGGTGATTCCGCATGTAGAATCCACATCAACGGGTCTGTTTTCATGTCCTGATACGCATGACGACCCCAATTTGGAGATGTATGAGGTAGCAGACAAGGTACTTTTGTGACTAGCACTGTTGCAGATGAATACTTTGGCGCTCTGATGCAACTGCAAGTATGGCGTCAACTCCTCACATGGCATTGTTCCCACATTCCCGGTAGATAAGCGCGAGCATTCCTTTTCTGAGATATGACATGCTTCAGATGCTCACGTCAAGCTGCGACGAGTCTGTAGGAAATGATGGCCTTTCCTCTATCTTTTCCATTCTTATCGACCACGTCATAAAATCGTCTGACCCATCAAATGCTTCGACATGCTTGCTCTTGAGAGCCTCCACAGAACACGTAGGAGTCATAGCAGAGGTGTTGCGTTCAATGTATTGCTCATGATCACTAGCTAAGAGTCATCAATGAGTGGGATCTAGGCGACACAAATGCCTCACTCGGAGTATAATTTGGACAAGTAGGATAAGTTGATTCATTGACTTTGCCGTACGGACTTCGGTCCGCGCTTCTCTGACCGCCAGTGTATAGACTGAAACAGCCGAGTCGGAGAGCACAATTCGAACGTCGTGGCTTGTCTCGCATTGCCGAACTGCACGGAAAACACTAATGCAAGATGATATGCCGTGATTGGCGGCATGTGGTCAGCCCATTATTGAGGGACACAACTTCTCCTCACCTTTTTTTCTGCCAGCCGATCTTCATCGGCGATGAGACCGTCTTGTTTCGGGAAACAAACTCGGAGCGAAGACCGATATCTCCGAAGAATTTCAATCCCGCATTTTCTGGCTTACGAATAAGCAAGCGCCTTGAAGGTCTCGAATTAAGCATCCTTCTTATTGCTGTTAATAGTTTTTGGTGGGTCAGTTCAGCGTGCAGTAAGCCCTGCTATCGCTATGTTCTCTGTCGCCAGTTACACTGTTCGTTCTAGGAGGATCGGGCTCAAGATGGACGGACCGTTCCTTGACCTGTCAAGCCTGGACAATGTGATTCATCCTTGTGTCTCGCATTCGCCAAGAATAAGTAGGTCAACAGACCAGGTACAGTATGGACTAAAAAGAAGTGATATGCAGTTCGGCCCCCGCCTGGATAAATCGGCACGCTGTCATCCTCCCAAAACACACTAAAAGTCCACTATCTGCAGTCATCCTCCAATCGTGCTTATGCAGAGCATACCTTCAATAACCGCAGTTGTGAAGCGCAGGGCGTACCCTTTCCTTCCCCAATTACCCATGCTCGTGTTCTAATTTCTCCAACTTCTCCCCGACAACACATCAAAGACATGTTCCTGGGGAAAGAATGGGCTCGGTGGCTCCGTCCCTCGGCAAGTGACTCCATCGCTTACCCGGAACCCGCTCATTGCTGGTCCAGTAGGCTCCCTTCCCACGATGGGGCATCAGCCAGAGCCTGGTTCCCTTGACTGTCTCCATTCCCACTCCCAGGGGATCAGTCAACATGAATGGCCACCGATGAGTGGATCCTCTTACTCAGTCTTGGTTGAGTCTGCTTTTCTAGCTCCCAAGCTTAGTCTTAGCCGGGGCTTGGAGGCACTACCTTAATAAATTTTTACTGTGTGCCGCTAGTATGATTCATTTCTAATCACAGTATATAGTGTGAGCCTGACCTCCACCTGGGGTCGCCCTCCTCTCTGCTCCTAGTCCCCCGGTCCGGAGAAATATATCTTAAGTGGTGATTTAAGCTCTCAGTGAGTGCTGTTTGGGCTGTGTTCACGTCGACTGCTACTAGGGTTATCTGATCCGCTGTCTGTTTCGCCCTCCAACCCTTACCTTTATCGTCCACTCCACCAGACGGTCCGTCTGATCGCTTATTATTGGGGTGGAAAATGGGGACCAATGCTGATTACGACGAGAAGGCTGTTGCGGGATCCCTCACTGCAAACAACAATGGCGACTGCCATGAACTTCCTACTCCGTCAGAGGAAAAACCCTCAGAGGAACCGATCTTTGATACCGGCTTTAAGTCATGGATCCAAGTGCTAGGCTCTTTCTTCCTCTTCTTCAACTCATGGTATGTGAGGCCCTCTACTCTGGTACCATGTAGGTCATCAACTGACGAAAGATGACGGCCAGGGGTGTCATTAACACCTGGGGTGCTTTCCAAACGTATTATGAGCAGGACTTGTTGTCCGACATGTCATCGTCCAACATCGCCTGGATTGGCTCACTCCAGGCTTTCCTACTCATGCTTTTTGGTGTGGTGACAGGACCTCTCTTCGATGCAGGCTATTTCCGTGCTCTGCTCACGTTCGGAAGCATCATGCTTCCCTTTGGGTTGATGATGACCAGTCTTGCTACCAAGTTCTGGCAGCTGATTCTGGCCCAAGGTATCGTTATTGGTCTGTCTGCCGGATGTCTGTTCGTCCCATCCGTCGCCATTTTGCCTCAGTACTTCAAGAAGAGACGTGGTCTGGCCAACGGTCTTGCCGCTTCGGGCAGCAGTATCGGAGGTGTGATCTACCCGATCATGTTTGACCAGCTACAGCACAAGGTCGGCTTTCCCTGGGCAACTAGAGCTATCGGCTTCCTCTGTTTCGGAACTTGCTGCATCTCATACAGCATTATGCGTATGCGCTTCCAGCCGACAGAGAAGCGCAAGCTGGTCCAGTTGGCTGCCTTCAAGGAGCCGCATTTTGTGATGTTTTGCATTGGCATGTTCCTGGGTTTCCTTGGATTCTACAACTTCCTCTTCTATATCCAATCCTATGCCATCGACACCGGAATTGTTGGTTCCACCCTCGGATTCTATCTGCTCTCCATGCTGAATGCGGGGTCCACCATTGGACGTATCTGTCCGAACTTCATCGCAGACCACACGGGTCCCCTGAACGTCCTCACTCCTGCAGCTACCGCTACCGCTATTCTTGCCTTCGCTTGGATCGGAGTCCACAATGCGCCAGGCATCATCGTTCTCTCCGTACTGTATGGTCTCTGCTCCGGCGGTTTCGTGTCACTTCCGCCGGTCGTGATGGTGACTCTGACCAAGGACATCCGGGACCTGGGAACTCGTCTAGGCATGGTGTTCGCAATCACCTCTGTCGGACTGCTGATCGGTACACCTATCGGCGGAGCCATCTTGAGCAACTCGGGCAGCTACCTGGGAGTGCAGCTCTTCACAGCCTGCTGTCTCATCACATCTGCCTCCGTCTTTGCCGCGCTGAGATTCTCTCGCTCGAGTATGAGACTTATCGCGCGTGTGTGAGCGCGGCCTGACAACAAACACACCAACTCCTATTCCCACTTCTATCAACTACGCTGCGACTGCATCAACTCACCTCGATGAGAACCGATACCTTAATACTTGATGACCCAAAAGAGTTGCATATTCCATCCAAGCATTTGCATTTGCATCATGCATTATGGGAGAACCGGTGTTTTTCTTGGGATGATAAAAGTTTGATCTTTTGATTACGATAGATAAGATTCAAGAACTAGATTAGAACATATTGCTTAATGTATTACGATTCAAATTGATTGATTTTAATATAATGCACAGCATAGATACCATTTCAAGCCTGTATTGTTTCAATGAGTCCTAGTCTCATTAGACTTCTATTCAAGCCGTCCTTAGTCCACTCAGCATGCATGGCATGACACGTCCGTTCATCAACCCAGAATAGAAACAATAATAGCAATGGCAACGCCCAAACACCAAATGCTAGACACAAACCGACCGACAAGCCACTTTTATCTTATGCTATTCATCGACCCTCGTTGTCGTCTTCACACCATCATATGTATATATACCTAGACCCGTCTGATCTATCCATCATCATCATCCCCGCCCGAACGAAACGTCCTACGAAACATGAATCGGATCCACCAAGAACTCCTCCCCATTCTCCCGGATATGCTGGAGTTTCTTATCGCGACTGCACGGCTTGCGCATATCAAAGGCATCTTCACCTGAATCGGAGAAACCTGTTGGATCGTCGCTGTAGTAGTTTACTACTCGGCGGAAGACGGAGTATCTGCATAGAACACCCCTATTAGCATCATCATATTCCTTTTTGCGGGGAACCGAGTGAAACCACAAAGGCTCGGACAGGAAAAGCGAGAAAATGAAAGTAGAAAAAAGGAGGGTATGAACTCACCCCATGCCCTTATACATCCCCACGGCAACTTTATTCCCCGCTCGCACATAGAGATCGACAAACCAGGCATCGTTGATATCGGAGCCCTGTTCCAGACGTTCGGTGAGACGACGGGCGTGGCCGAGACGGCGCCATGCGGGCGCAACGGTTAAAACGGTAATGTGGCCGTGCCATGGCGTGTAGTGTTCGGAATGGCGCATCGAGGCGGGTTGTTCTTCGAGCTTGCCCATGACTGATGACGCGCATTAGTGGTGATTATTACAACTCGAAGGGTGATGGGAAAGAAACTCACTGTAACCCACGATGCCTTCCTGGCGATCCTGAACGCTGCTAAAGAGGGAGGGCCATCGCATGAGGTAATTGAGGTAGAATCCGAGGTCGTAGTTTTCGGTCAATGGGTCAAGGTTGGTGAGGTTGAGGGACAGGAGGTCCGTTGGGGACATGCGCCGGATGGAGCTCATTGTTGGTGTGTGTGTGTTTTATTACTTTGGGGTGAAGGTTGGGAGGTGGTTCTCGAGCAGATAGTCTAATAGATGGAGGGGAAAGATGAAGCAATTTGGGGAGTTGATCGGCGAGTCAATCGGGGCTTGGGCGGTCACGGGGAGGAGATCTTTTTGAGGGTCGGGCTTCTTTCTCCCTCTCCTTCTGTGCCCCCCTCATTAGTTATATTATTATCATTGTTCCTCTCCTTCTTCCTCTCTCTCTCTTTCTCTCCCCGGCTCATTCTCTATTTCATTTCGACTCTTTCGTTCTCGGGATAGCCGGTCTCGACTTCTTCGTTCCTTTACCCTTTTACCCTCTTTCCCCTCCCGTCCTTTACAACTGGCTGCGTGGAAAAGCATCCTGGTGATGCGGTCGGCGATCCACCATTGACTTCCGTTCCCCTGTTCGTTATTTACTTCGCGGCAGCCACTTACGATTTGCAAAGAATCTACAACAAACAACCCCTGTTCCCCTTGTTTAGACCGTCAGGTTTTCCACGCCAAACTATCTCCTTGACCCTTCAACGCCTACACCGCATCCTCGTCTCTCTCTCTCTTCCCCTCCTTTAATCCTGCAACATGCCGTCCATCCCACCTCCCCTGACTATATCTCACCGCCATACTCGGAGTCGCTCCTCCAACATCGACATCGACCCCATTTCTCCTGGTACCTACGCTCCCAACGGCTTTTCCTACCGGTCGCCTCGGTCGCCTCATACGCCTCGTTCATCCATCCCCTCTTCTCCGGTGGACGTCCGCCCTCACCACACTCAATCATTCAATGGCTCCCATAGAATGTCGGGCGACTTCGGCGGTGCTGCCAACGAAGGCGGCGGACTAGGAAACTTGGCCGATGAGCTCGCGGATGCATGGGAGGAGGAAGAAGGTGGTTACGGATACACGTCGGGCCAGGATGCCGGGGCCCCTGACGCACAGTATGTGGATCGCAGTGACGATGAAGATGCATACCACCGCATGGGCACCGGGGCCCGCACACCCTCATCGGGCTACTCGTCGGAACGGAATTCTTCTCTGCAGCCTCCGAAGCCCAAGACCCGTAATGGTGCCCATCGACACCGGCGGCACGAGTCGCAATATGATGGGTCCGATTATGGAAACGATTCGGATTTCGAGGAAGCGGATATGCCGCCTAGCCTGGAGATGCAGATGGCGGAGATTGAGAGTCTGGCTCGTCGCGGACTAGAGAACAATGGCAGTGAGAATGACTTTGTGATTCAACGGGCGGTGGAAGCTCTCCGGGATCTTGGCGGGCAAAGTGGGATTGAAAACAATGCCATGAGGTAGGTGGATCTGTTGTTGTCTGTGACTTGGCAGGGTGTCTTGGTCTGCTCGGAATAATGACCGGCTAACACAACTTTTGAAATCTAGACTCATCACTGCACACTCGTCCATCACCTCACATCTTACCCATCAGACGCGGGCACTTCAGACCCTCACCCACCCTCTCCTTTTCTCGCCATTCCCGCTCCTTTCCTCAGATGCTATAGATGCGCTCATTCCTCTCATCGACGAAGAACTCCTGCCTAACCTCCCCTATCCTTTCCCGGAACAGCCACGTCACTCCTCAAGACCCACTACCCCCTCCCAGTCACCGGCCCTGAACCCTCTTGTCTCCCTGCAGACCCTTGTGTCGCAGACATCCGACATCACCCTGTCGCTCCGGGGCCTGAGCGATACGCTGTATGAGTCGCGCCAGCTTACGTCCACGGCATCGCGACGACTCCGGTCTGCTCGCGAACTTGTAGCTGACCTCCGCCGTGAGGAAGAAGGCGTGGAGGAGGGGACCCGGTGGATCGAACGAGGTGACTGGGACCGCCGACTCCGGGATCGCGAAGCCGGCCGAGTCTGCGGAGACGTAGTCAGTGGCTTCGAGGCAGTGTGCGGTGAATGGCGAGAGAAGCTCTTCGGAGCAGCCGCTGGAGCCGAAGTGGCTGCTGCTTGAGATGATGACTATTTATTAAAGGTAAAGGGGGAGGGATAATGGATATAGACAAAGGACGGATGCTACCAGTTTCTTCTTCTTCTCACGGGATAAATTTCTTTTTTTGTCTTCTCTTTTTTTGCCCTTGACATCCCAGACATATTGTCTCGAGTACTACTGCCAGAGATAGCGGCCATACCCCCTTTTGCAAATTTCCTTTCTAGTATATAGATTATTCATCTGGGTTCGTCCATCCATCCATCCATCCATCTTTCTGTTTATTTTCATCCACCTACATATTCCACAAACGCTATGCATTCATTCATTCCACCAGATTTAAGCAAAGTATGACCTCGTTCAGTTTGTCCTGTCAGAATCTCTCACCGATATCCAAATATCCATGACCCACACATCCAAACCTCCAACTGATTTCCAATTCGACACCATAGAAGTCCATACATACACTCAATGCATAGACCACTTTCCTGGTATATTACTCAATATAAGGTATCAGATTATAATAAAAGTTGATCTCACAAATAACTGATACATTCATTACTCTTCCCTTATCCCCCCTTTCTCATACTCTGTCTGTTCTCGGTACTAATTATTAGCCCAATGTAACCAAAACCAAAACAAAACTAGTCTCTTGAGAAAATCTGTCACAGGTACAGTTTCACCAAGTGTATGGGTCTGTTTCAGGTATTGTTTGTATTGGTGACAAGACAGAACCTTCCTAGTTCCTATTTCCTTGTTGTATTGAGGTAAGGCTAGAGACAGAGCAACTGGGGACCAAAAGGAAATTAAAAAAAAAAAAATAATAAAAACGAAAATAAAAAGGAAAAAAGCAGATGATGGAAGACATATAGCAAGAATAAGTAGATATGGTACTTAGGTACGTAGTACGACAGTTACTTTCTTTGCACTTGATTATTGGTTTGAAACGAATTATATTTGGTGGTGCATGATACCGGTGGTTTCATGCCGATCACAGTCTATCTACTCCGTACTTTTTGTGTAATAATGTGAGATATATATACACTACGACGAGCCAAGGATAGTGGTTAAGGAACGAAAGAAAATACTATGCATTTGGTAAAAAAAACCATGAGATCGGGTAATGTAAGTAAAAATCAATCAATCAATTGACATGGCATGCCCAGAAAAAGAAAAATTAAATCAAGCAGTTGGCGGTGGGGGGGGGGGAGGCAAAGAGCTTTAACTACAACCTCATGGTGTGAAGAACCCCCGATATCTATCTCTCTCTCTCTCACCTCGCAAAAGTTCATACCTCATCAACTAAAAGAACTAAAAGACGTAGTAGGAACAGTATGGAGGTAGAAAATAAAAGAAGAATCGTACCGGGTTTGAGGCTAAGGAAGGAGACAAAAAAGGTACTATGCGAACATGAAGATGGGGAGGCGGGGCGGAAAAGTGTTTGTAGGTGGATGAGAGTTGTGTGTTTATACAACACAAGGATGAAAGAGAGAGAGAAAAAAGAGAAAAGAGGAAGGTTGACTCATATCACACGCCCTTTCATCAAACATCCAAAGAACTTTTTCATGTCATCATGCGATTTACTGGCCACCCTGCTGCTGCTTCCATCTGGGCACCCACTTGCCAGCGGCAGGCTTGGACTCCTCGGTCTTGTCGGAGCTGGAGCCGGGGGTCTGCGTGCGGGAGGGGGGCTGGGAAGAGCCGGCCTCACGCATGGCACGGGGAACGTAGCGCTCCGTGGAAGGAGCAGGAGCAGCACGCTCGGGAGCAGCAGGGGTAGCACTGGCACCCGAGCGCAGGTGAGGAGGCACGTAGCCTCTGCGCACGGGAGCGGGCTCCTCGCGGGCAGGCTCGGGAGCAGCACGCTCAGGAGCAGCAGCAGGAGCGCCACCAGTAGCCTCCTTGGCAGCCTGGCGCTCTCTCCAGCTGGGACCACCACCAGTGCGAGGAGCCAGGTTGAGACGAGGAGCAATGCGTTCCGTAGGAGCAGCACGCTCGGGAGCCGGCGCAGCCTCGCGCTCAACACCACCAGTCCGGCGAGCGGCACGGCGAGCTTCGGCTTCCTCTTCACGCTGCTTCTGCTTGATAGCAAGTTCATCAAGTCTCCTGTAAGGCGGGTTAGCAATTAGTGGTCTTTGACGAATTGGGCGACGGTGGATACTGACTTTCTCTCTTCCTCACGCTTGGCCTTCTCCTCAGCCAGGACACGGCGGCGCTCCTCCTCCTTGGCGGTTCTCTCCTCCTCCTCGCGACGAATGCGCTCCTCCTCTTCCTTGCGGCGGCGCTCTTCCTCCTCACGCTCGGCCCGCTCACGGCGTCTGCGCTCCTGGACCTCCTTGATACGCTGCTTCTTCTTGGCCTCGAAGTCACGCTCAGCAGCCTTGCGGCGCTTCTCGAACTCCTCGTGGCGCTTCTCGGACACCTCCTTGCGGAAGCTGTTGAACTGGGGCACCAGACGGCTGAGACGGTGCTTGAGGGCAACGGCCTCCTTGTGCTTGTCCTCGGCCTCCTTGAGGGCCTCGGCCTTGGTGGCCTCGTAGATCTCCATGTCGCGCTGCTTCTGCTTCTCGTAGTCCTCGGGGATGTGCTTCAGTTCCTCACGACGGAAGGCACGCTCCAGGTGGTCAATGCGCTTGGCGGTGGTGCGGATGCGGTCGTTAAGCTCGTTCTTCTCCTTCTCCAGCTGAGCCAGCTTCATGGCACGGAGGCGGTTGGCATCGAGCTCGTTCAGGTCAAGCTCGCTGATGTCAATGCCCTTGACGCCAGTCTTGAGCTCCTCCAGCTGCTTCTTCAGCTCCTGCTGGCGGATGCGGTCCTGCTCATCCTTGATGCGCTTCTTCTCACGCTCGCGGTGCTCATCCGCCAGACGCTGCTTCTCGGCTTCCTGAAGCTGCTGGGTGCGGATGCGCTTGCGAGTCTCCTCCTCGCGCTGCTTGCGCTGCAGAGCATCGGTGGCGGCCTCCTTCTTCTTCTCGATGATGACGCGGCGAGCCAGAGTCTCCTCGTGCTCCTTGGCGGCACCAGCCTCGGCGCGGGCAAGGGCGGCACGCTTGGCCTGCAGGCGGGCCTCGTTGTACGACGGGTCGACGTACATGCAAGT